TTCACAGCTCCACAGTATCCCGAATCTGCCTTGCCTTCGTGGATGTCAGGCTTCACTTGGTGTTTCTGGTATGTAAATATGATAGTCATTCTATGATACAGTTAGTGTGTAGTTTGCGCGCTAGTAGGCATCTGTATTATGCCAGAAGTTACCAAACAGTACTTTTTCTACATCACAGCATTCTCATTTTATTATAAAGGCTGGCTTCTGGACCAGCTGGTTTCCTCTGGAAATCCATCACTCGGACTACAACCAGATCATTACAATTGTTATATTATACATCGATCAGATTACCATAATGAGAATCCCAAAGAATAACAATGCACTCCAGCTACCAACAGTTGAAAGCTGGAACGGGACAACTGTGAAGGCTAAGGATCCTTATGCATTGATGCGTGATTGTAACGCAAACACTCGGTCAGTCTAGAGAAGACATTGTCAATAGGTATTTTCCTAACAGTAAGCTAGACTTACCGCACAGCATTACCTTTGGAAAGAGTTACTTGGGTTCCTGGTTCATCCTGATATTGATACTCGGGCTGCGGACTTGAAAGTCGCTGATATTGCTACTGGTAACGGGTAAATTGATCTACCAAGCTTCGAAGTTCTCATAACTAATTATTCCAGTATTTGGCTTCAGGATTTTGCTCGTGGAAAACCACCGTCCGTTGATCTCCATGGCTTCGATATTAGCCTGGACCAAGTTGGCCCTAAGCCATGGCTACCCGCAAATATACACATGCATGTCTGGAACATTTTTGAAGAAGTGCCGGATGAGTTCATAGGCTACTTTGATGTTGTGCATGTTCGTCTGATTACTGTCGTTGTCAAGAATAACGACCCCAGGCCGATTCTAGCAAACTTGAAGAAACTGCTGAGTATGCGCTTCAATTCCATTTTCATGGCAAGGCTGACAATCCATGGGTTCAGAACCCGGCGGCTACCTTCAGTGGGATGAAGTTGACACCATTGGGTGCTCTATCAAAACCGTGCCTGGGACTTCAGCATCTAATCTTGATGCACTCTTCTCTCAGCTCAAAGGACATGACACGTAAGTGTACCGAGAAAAAGATAGTTGGAAGATCTAATGCGAACTAATCTCTTGAGCAGCTGGAAATATGACCTGACGCGAATTATGGATGAAAACGGATATACTGGCTCAATGCTGTATACTTATGAGTACGGACTTGGAAATGCTCGGTTCTGGAATGATGTGTAAGCTATGACCGAGAACAAAACTAGGTCTTCTATGGGAATACCTAACATTCATACAGATATGTGAGCACATGGAAAGAGTTTGCAAAAAACGCACTTAAGACCCCGGAGGCATCGAAAAGTCTGGAGCACAACGCTATGATGGAGACCTTGAATGGCGCTTCCATCATGGTCCCAAAGCTGGTCTGGGTGACGAAGAAGGTTGATACCGTAGAGCACTAGGTGGTTTTGATGTGCGGAATGTCTATACCCGTTATACGAATTGTGTACGCTAGGATGCTAGAATATTACATTACCAATTCTCTCGCCTGCTATGGCACACTTACTTGTCTTTTTCTTAATCGCTTAATAGCATGTATTCAAGGCTGGAGGCTTGCTCTAAAGGGGTTCATGCCTATATACTACGAAGCGGGGTTCCGAATGTCCCAGGACCATCGCCTTATTCACACCAGTTTTCATTCTCTTTGCATGTGGTTATCTAGGTACCATCATGAGATAAGTTTCCTTTAGAACAGTTGCATTCAGAATACATAATGTAACTGGACCGTCGTCCAAAAATCCTAGTATCTAATGTTTGAGACTGACTCATCAAGTACGTCTATTTTCCATATGAAACAATATATATGACGGGTATTCGGGATTGAGTGATGTATTACATTATAATTCAAGAAATGTAATTCGTAACATTTGGAGTCTGAGATTTTAGCCTTGGAAACAGGGCAACTACTGTCTGAATAGAGATGGGCAAAGAATATATCAATGGTCTATGTATCTTCAGACATCATGTATCAATAGCTTAAATCTTTAGCGAGCTAGCACTGTTAGAATTTCCGGTAACTGAGTGCCCCGAGACATTTGACCTTATACCGCAATGTCACTACTGTCACCACCACCGCTATTCTTGCCTATAGACCTTTGGGGTTGACCAGTCTGTATTACATTGCGATGATGTCAGTGGCTAATCATAGATAAATCAAGCCAAATCGGATGGTGTGTATTGGGAGTTCTACACCATACATTGGACTCTGTATTGATCTATCTACTTTGCAATAAATCCATCGATAAACTTGGTAATTTGCTCTGCCAGCGCCTGAGGTTGGCTCACAAATGGCATGTGACCGGCCTTGAAATCCACAACTTCCCATTCAACCTTGGACTTCTCCAGCCATATGTCCTGCAACAATGCAGGGTTGCAACAGTCATCCAGGGTACGTACATACGCCCTTCTACCATCAAACGCACTCTCCGCCCAGGCTGGGGCGGTGGGAGGAGTTTCAAAAGCGCGGAGTGCATGTGGCTGCATTAGCGTATCTAATTCCGGCTGCAGGGCACGGTCGCAGTCATTGTACAGCACGTCCATTGCCGGTTCGATGACAGCAAGGCCCTGGGATGGCTAGGAACAAAATCATTAATACTCGATCGTTATGACAGCATTTATGCAGGTTATACCATACCTTATCGACTTTGATGAAAGGAGGGTAAGCGCCGCCTACCGCCTGCAAGAGGGATTCCCCCTCAAGCGTGATATTGCCCACCACGTAAATAAGGCCAACAACGCCAGTCGATTGACCTTGGGCTGCTCTGGTTTCCTTTGCAAGTTCTTTTGCTGCGCCACCGGCAACAACACCCCCGTATGAGTGTGCGATGATGACAACATCTTTTCCATTCTCATTCAAAAGAGGGAGGAGTACATTGTTACGCAGGTGCGCGATATCCTGGGAAGAGGACACTTGGGTCGGATCGGAGGGGTTGCAACTGGGGTATGACCCTGGATGTGTGGTGTATCCAGCCTCGGTCAGATACGGTAGCAGTTTATCGAAACCTTCAGGTGTGCCAAATGCACCTGGGACAATGACAATGATCGGGAGGTTTGCCGACGACATTTTGGGTGGGATTCCGGGTTGGGAACAGGTTGCGACTTCGTTATGTTGAGTATTATGGAAGGGAAGAGAAGAAATTGAAAAAGGAAGCCCGGACTGCTGCCAGGAGTAGTAAGGTAAAGAAGGTGGAGTAGCAGATTCAGAGGTATGTATTTGTCATGGGTTGAGTAATTAACTTCGCCAAATGTATGAAATCCCTCCCTGCCCTCTGGAATCAGCCGCACGTCAGGTTGCAACCGCCAACTACGAGAGTAAGCCTAGTTAGACTAGGCTTAGCACGCTCGTCCAACGGAGGAGGTGCTGTACCCCACCCGGAAATTGAGACAGGCGCATATCTACGTAGTACCAAAGTAGGTACGAAATAGTCAATACATGTAAGGAATAATCCGTGTATTAGTCTAGCAGTTAGCACATGTACCTGCTGGTGGGGCCTAAGTGGTAGTTGCATACACTATGCTTATCTCAGTAGGTCAGAAGAGCCCCTCGCCTCGCCTCACACTGACAGGGGTGGAGCCAACAAGGCTTTACCCAGATACAGCAATGGCTTAACTCCGGTGTTCACGGCAGAACGTGGGGGCGGATGGATTTAGTCTGCTGATTGACACTGGCAAATTGATCCAACGCGAGAAAAAAAAAATAAATAAATAAGTAAATAAAATGTAATAAAATGCAAGATAAGAATCGGGTTCTCGGTTGATTTATTCCTATTGGGTGGGGATCAATCACTCGAAAAGTACTAAGACCTCGGAACCGTGGAATATAGTCGTTCGATCTACAGGCAGCGGAAGGAAAGAATAACTCGTCTCGAAATAGGAGACACTGGTTGTGGGAGAAAAGAGTGGAGCTGCAGTTTGCCGCACGCTAGTAGCAGATGATTCTTGGCTGTTTTGGGGGCGGAAATACCTTGTAAAACATTGGAACTCTGCTCGCAGATCGGGAAGGCTTTTCGCTCATCATGCTATACTGAATCCTGGCCAGATGGTGGGGATCTTTGCCGTTGAAGCGGGCCGAAACCTTGAAGAGCGCCTTGGATTGAAGACAATGTACCAAACTTTTGGCCCCAGGTTGCCGCGCTTACACGCACCACCCTGTCTGTCTCTTTGACATATCTACTAGTACCATGAGACCGTCAAGGTTGCGGATATATACTAAAAGGCCCGTAGACCCACTGCAGAGAGGACCAAATGAGACGCACGTACATCGGCGATCCAAAGCCAGCAATTATCCCGTGCACGCAGAGCCAGTCAATAAATAATTCTTTATTTCTCCTGGATGGAGAATTGGCTAGGGGCTGAACCAGACCAACAAGGAGAAAAGGCCCAACGGTACGTAGGACCAGGCAGGGAGGCAGAAAGCAGCAGGTGCACACAGCCCACGGATCGTCCACGCATCCACCCTTCCCAACTCTGCAATGTCTTTCTGCAGGACGTGCATTGCTTGATGGTTAGATGGCAGGCAGGCGCAATGGTGCATAGTGGTAATGTCCAGGGAGTCGGTCTCCCGGGGAAAAGCTTACCAATGAGCAGTGCCCGGGCCTGTCCAATTAGTGAATCTGTGAAGGGTTAACCACAGACCGGTGCCAGCCGAGGTTCGATGAGGCAAACCACCATGTATCCTTATTACCATATTTCGACTCGCTATCATCGGCTGTTGGTTTAAAAAAGTACCTTTCCAATACTTTGGCCCCAGCCCCAGTTGCAACATGTGAAGGGGCGGAAACGGCAAGCAGTGGCCCACCCGTCTGTTCACTGAACTTTATATTATATTGTCCGAGTACTCAGTACACGTAGTAAAGGATTTTTCTCACTTTATGCACTGTCTACACTTTCGTCTCCACGGGGAGGGTTTGAGTTCTTGCAGGAATACCTGTGTGCACATAACAAACTCACACCCCTTGTAATTATCATGTCTCAATCTCTGCCCTCTACAGACCTTTCCGAGTCCCGGCAACCTAATTTGTATGCCTCTTCGACTATACCTTTCTTCATCGCCGTTCTCTGTGTCAGCCTTCGATTCTGGTGTCGCTGGAAAAATACTGCGGGCTTATGGCTTGACGACTGGCTGATACTAGCCTCATTGGTACGTACTGTACACTTCTGCTGCCGATAAAGTGTCTCTAACATGGTCGATTAGGCTTGCGGCACTGGCCTCACAGCTTCATTACTGTGGTGTAAGACGACACCCGATTGGCTTCAGGGGTGTGTTGGATGTTAACAGATGTAGGGATACCTCGTGCTCTGGGGAGGCATATTCAAACGTTCGGACCAAACGCGACGGAGGACGCATATATCGGGCTATTCTCCTGTGAACTCACTTACACAGGCGTCATTGTCCTTGTCAAGTTCTCTATCCTCGCCCTGTACTGGCGTCTATTCAACAGGGCCAACATCAAGATCCCCATTAGCATACTTGCCACTCTGGTCTGCATGTGGGGTATTGCTGTAGTAAGTGTTGTAACTTTGCCCCTAAGAAGACCATTAATACTCACATTTGCAGTTTTTGCTCACCTTGCTGCAATGTATACCCACTCGAGGATTATGGGATCAATCAATCGATGCCTCCTGCAATGTTGACAGCCAAAAATTCCTGTTTGCGATCTCAATTCCCAACATCATAATCGATGTTACGCTTCTCGTACTTCCTGTACCTTACATCATGAAGCTCAACACCTCGAGAAGCCATAAGAAGGCTATCATGTCAATGTTTCTTTTGGGCAGTTTGTATGTGGACCTCACATTCTGAATGTTGCCAATAATCAGCTGACCGGACAGTGTGTGCATCGCCTCAATAATGCGACTTGTTTCAGTGATGACCCAAGGTACTGATGCGGACGTCAGTTGGAACTGGGTCAATCAAGCCATATGGGCCAATATCGAGGCTGACCTGGCAATTGTCTCGGGTAAGTAATCTGGTCCCTTTTTTGAGCTTGATGACTCCAGATATTGATTGCATCAAAGCTTGCCTCCCAACTTTGCGTCCTGTATGGGTCGCAGTTCGACGAAGCCTCTTTGGTACCCAAGCTACCAATCAATCGACTGACCCGTCCTCTTGGGCTACGCCACAAAAGCGTGTTCAGGCTTCTTCGTGGGCCACAAAGATACTGAAATCGAGCTCCTACGACAAGGAAGACACACAGCCCTTTTCAGCTCTGGATAGTCATACGGAGGAAGGACCGCACCGTTACTCGGCATTGGATCAATCGCAATCTAAAACGGCGGTCGCAATTCCATTGCCAACTCTCAATAAGGGACAGCCTCATGAGGAGGGTATCACGGTGAAGAGAGCTTGGGATGTTGAGTACAATCAATAGAACCAGTAAAATGAACTGTAAAAGTACTGACCTAAAATGTGGGACTAAACGGAGCAAAGAAGCTCGGGTGAAGCCCGTAAGCAATCCGTATGTATTTAATTACTCACCTACGCCCGGCTGAACACGAAAATCATTGTTTAAGCATCAAAACGAGCAGCCAGTGGTATTTTCACGTTACAAACTCTGCCAATCATGCACTCAAATTGGCTCATGGGGCTATCCAGAATGGTGATTCGTGTCAAAACACAAGGCTATGTCCGCCCAAATCCACCTCTAGGCGGTTGTGTCAAGCCAGGCTAATTACTCAACCGGATCGTGAGCAAGCGGAAGCAGTAACGCATTTCATCTCTACTCGCACGCAACGCCGCTTCCCATAAGCAGACGTGTACATATATTCGAAAAGCAGCGCTAAAATGCCATGTTAGTGCCTTACTTCGCCCCCAAACCTATTTTAGTAGCCTAGGATCTTACCAGTGCGATTAATGCATCGCAGAAGGCTCAGGTCACTGGATCTATCGGGTAGCCCCGGATATTACATAATAGATCATTTAGGATCAGTTGCAGCCACCCCTAGTAGAGGAGCCGAACTCATCCGGGTTACCAGCGCTGGGTAGAATAACACAGCGTAGATGAGATACAAGAACCTCAGCTATCTATATATAAGCCCTTCATCTTGGTCGGTTTCTCTATTCCTCAAAATTGAGGCGAGATCCGTTATCCAACAAGGTTAACTACTGCAGACCGGCCGCAGAGTGGCGTCTGTAGTCTTTGCAGCAGGGACTATCTCAAGAAGGACTGTGCGGCGCATGGATTTACAAACGTAGTCAAGCTACCTCCTCCTAGATGTGTTTTGGGTATTCTGTTGGTAGCTGCGGGTGATGATGGACTTTTGCCTTTGTTGGTGTTTCATCACCGGAGTTGCCTATCTATATATATATATGTACATGGTGCATTCATGTTAGTTATACAATGAAGGAACACGACACCTACACGAATCTACGGAACAGAGAGCATGAAAGTACGGAGGAGACGTGCCGTGGACCACAATTCTTGGATATTCAAATATAGCAGGGGTGACATGCTTAATGGGTGAGCATGGAGATTGTGACGCTTTTAATATGGCAACAACCACTGAGCTCATTAATATTAAAAGTGAGAAGTTCACCGTGTTTGGACACTACAGCGATTCAACCTTCATCCCGAAAAGCTATATAGCTGGCCCCTGGGCTTCACTGGCCTTTCTCCGTCAGGCAGGCATTGGGTGTGAGGTAGGGGTTGAGTGTGAACTGGTAAATGGTCACTCTTTGTGTTAAGTTCGCGCTGCTGGCGCTACTAAATGGGTTTCCCAGATTGGTGCCTTCAAGAGACCATATTACCCAGGACTTCATGGTAATGAACTCTGGATAGAGAATTTTGTAAGGCATTCCAGTCCATGCAGACCATGGAGTCCGCACCAGTCCAGGTTGACCCAGCATTGTTATCTCATGTCGGACCCCATCACACGCGCAGAGCACCAGTCCTAGAAACACCTAGGACTTCCAAGAAACATCTGTACCTGATTTAGGTCTCCCGAGGAAACATACCTTCAGGAGACCTACGACAAATGTACAACGCTCTACGGACCTCATAGATCTGCAGGGGCGAGCACTGGTTCGTCGGTATTTGACTTCGTTAGATAACACCAGGCCTCATGGGTAGGCGATCCCACCGGACCAAGCTATCGAAGGAAACCACCGTTCCACAGGTGCCATCACGTTGACAATCTTAGTAGGGTGAGTATCGCATAGCGGACCATTATCGCGCTGTTTCAAATACCCGAAACCGTTCTGATTGGCGTAATGATATGGACTGTGTTTGAGGAAAGTAAACCTTTCCCTATACTATTCACCTGGGAGAGATACTATGACCAAAAGGAAACTGACGCCATCTACTGCGAACAAATTTGACGTTGGATAAACGATCGCGCCATGTTTCTAGTTCGTCATCTCTAGTGCCCTGAATGCTGGCTTCAGCTAACCGGCTATAGCATGGCAGATCAAAACCAGCATTGTTAGGCTAACTTACGTACTGTCGTCCGAAATTATTAACGTCAATCAACAACAGAAATATGCGTGGACGAAAGCACAAGGCTCACATGTTACCGTTATTGATTGATGACCTCTCCCCGACCTTTCTAACGGCAAAGCTGCTTCAACTTGTCGATCTCAGCCATCCCCCCTTTAACTTCCTCTCCCAGCTTTGCAATATCCCCCGCATCCATTCCCCTTGTCGCTTTGGCGGCCTTTGCAAAAAGGGATGGCGCTTTAAGCATATCAAGTATACCCAAGCCACCTAGAAGAGCAAGGAAAATTTCACTGGCACCCGCATCCTTGACACTCACGACGCTATAAATTTCAAATCCCGCATCACCGGCTGCGCCGATAGCTCTGAGTGCGGCAGCAACAGAGGTGAGTTCTACGGAATCGGCAATCTCGCCGAGTCCAGGGATAAGGAGGAGGAAAGCAGTGACGAAGAGTAGAATAGCTTCCTCGACCATTTCCTTGTGATATTCTTCGCTGATACTTTCGACACCCTTCATGCTTGCGATGGAGTTTGAACATGCTCAAAGACGAATGGGCTATGGTGGTGCACGGTATTTATCATTATCCCTTCTTTGCCAAATGGTGGAGCACACAGATCCCGGAGCACCCCCAAGATAGACATGAGATTAATATTAGGCGCGCAATCAATGCCCGCCGCATCATGTCTAATGATTTATCCTAGCTCTCTGCGGATACTCCCGGAAAGCTATTGCCAGAGCTCATTTGGTACCCTAATACCTCGGACATGACAACCTATGAGAGGCTCGCTCACAAGAGACCAGACATGTTTGAAGAATGTTTACGAGCTTGCATAGTTGCAGGTTATACACATACGTGGGATGATTCGCTGTGCACTGCACCTGAGATTTTCAGGGAACAATTCGCACACGATTCTAGCAAGGCCGATTACAACCCCCAAGATCCTAAGCTGTGGTGGCTGAGCAAACATGCGAGCCACGCACTGTGGATAGAAGCTGCTGCCTCCCCGAACAATCACTTCTAAAACTGCATTTCTGAGGCTGTGCCTAACGCTGGTGACAAATTGGGGGTAGCGCACTTTAATAGTGACTGGTGGGGGGACTACGTCGTCGCGAAATCTCTTTACCACTCAAACAATCCTCCGACCATCTTTTTCCATGACCCAGTCCGCCCCGGAGCGTGTGAAGGTTCGTATAATGGAATGGATTGTGGAATTGGTGAGGGTATCGACCTTTGTTTGTTTCTCGGTGATGCCCTGTCAAAAAAGACCTGGACGAGGAAAATCTTGGATGAGGGATGCACAACAGCCAGTCTTCAGGAAGTGTGGGACTTGTTAGATGAGAACAAAAATAAAAAATAAATAGGCGCTATCTCAGAAACGCGAACCCGAAAGGTCCACATCTCAACACCTAATATACACTTACTCAGATCCTCATTTTCGCTGGAAATCAGGGACCAGATAAGCGAACAGATCATGAACCCTTTGAGGGTGGAGGGGTTGAAAAGTACCGATCTTCACCTCAATAGATGTAGTAATTCAGTGTTCATATAAGCTAATGGAACCGCGTAGTAGGTGTGGCAGCTACGTAGGTCGTCCTTCACGCCTGGAACCAAGACTTCCAAACCCCGTAGAACCCAACCTTACTTCAACTGTAGGAAGGCTCTGCCTAAAAGCCACTATACAAGAATCTATTTACGTTCTGATGTTATTGCGCATTTCAGACTGGACGACTCTAGCTCTCAGGCCCCTATTTGATTCCCCTTACCGCGTAGTTCCCATACATGCCCTTGTACAGGGATTGATCCCAACGCTGGCTTATCAGGCTGTCATACAGGACATTCCCAAATCATTATTCAGAGACCGCGTTCCCGTCCCTGCACCATGACATATTATGTGAGACATTTGTTTAGCCAGGCAACACCTGAACGCGTGATAGCGAGTATGGATTTCTGTCATACGATGGTCATTTCTCTCGTAAATAGTCTGTCGCTTGCTTCTCCTGCGGTATCGTGCTGCCCTCCCCACCGTCCTTTATTTTCCGGTCTTTTACTTTGCCAGGCCATGTTGAAAAGAATGATACAGACCCATTTTGTTAGTAGCTCACTAAACCTTACCGGAACTCCACCCAAGCTGAAGCGCATAGAATCCCCGAAAGCCTTATATTGGACTTGCTCTGATGTCTCGCTGATCTCGATACATGGATTTACTGAAACCTATTCGTAATTCATGTCACTATAGTGACATGGCCAAAAGAATTGCGTGAAGAAGAGAATGCGGGTATTTTCTCACGTAGACTAAGAGAAGGACCTTACTTATAGGGATCAGTTTACTGAATATGTCCAGCTTGAATGCCAAGAATCTGCCAGTAATTACGGAGATAGCGTAGGATTTCATATAGGGGAGTTCTATATGAACCGGACTTAGTATAATTACCCCTTGCTGGTGAAACCAACAGTGGGGCTATAAAGATATCAGTAGCCACAAGAAGCTGCGGATCGCCAAGCATATCACATTATCATTGAAGGCCTAACGAAGACATGAGTGATACCCACGAGTTCTAAGGCCCAAAAAGGAAAGCAAGAACTATGCCTCAGGATGACCGATTTGCAGCATCCTCAATCATTGTTACTTGGGGCTCTTCTTTCCCTTTCACGTCCCCAGGAAACACCATCACGTCCCCGAAAAGCTCGTCCATCTGTTCGAGGGTCTTACCCCTGGTCTCTGGAAAGAAAAATATATAGCAGACCATGGCAATTAGGTTGAACACGAAGAAGACGTAAAAGTAACGGAAGCCAATGTTGGATAGTGCCGTAGGTGAAAACTGCGCGAACACCAGATTGACGGTCCAATTAGTGAACGTGGTAATGGAATTGCCTTGGTTACGGATATCCACGGGGAAGATCTCCGCAGGGTAGACCCAGGAGATGATACCAGGGGATGTATAAAACAGGCTGAAGATAAAGTTCATTGCGACCATTGCACGTAGCTGATTGGTGTTCGTCTCGGTATAATGCTGGGACATGGCCGCATTGCACACCAGTGCTGCTGCCATACCCGCTGCTGAAACGATCAGGGGTCGGATGCGACCCACCCGCTCCAGGGCCCAGAGTCCGATGGTGCAGTAGACGATCGATAGACCGCCGGAGATACCGATGATCATCAGCGTTGTGCGCGTTTCGATACCCAGTGAGCTGTAGATACGCGTTCCATAATAGTTGATGACATTGATCCCTGACAATGGACCAAAGGCCTGCACACTGCAGCCGAGAATGCGCCATCACCATGCAGGCGGTGCAGTGTGGCTAATGCCTCTTCGTGGCGGTCTTGTTCCATCAGCCAGCGAGGTGATTCCTGGAGAAACCAAACACCGGCCATGAGAACGAGGCCAGGGACACATTGAAATGAAAGTGGGAAGCGCCCTGTGAATGTAAATCAGACTCTTGGTACAAATGCCGCACAGAAAGCCTGGGATCCGGATTCATGGTACATTAGAAATCAGTATTGTTGAAGGAGCACCCGTACCCCAGCCACTGCGCAACGAGAGATCCCCAACTTAACATCCACTGCAGCAGACCCGACATCATTCCGCGGGATGCGGCTTCGGCCATCTCGCCAGCGTACATGGGAACGGTGGCGGTCAGCATTCCCACAGCTACACCCGCAATGAACCGACCTATGATGAGCATGGTCATGTTGATCGCGCCGCCCTGCAGGGCACAGCCTACAATGGAGATGCAGGCACCGGCAAAGACGGACATTTTCCGTCCCAATCTATCGCCAGTGAAGATGTTAATGATGGTTCCTAGGATGGCACCGCCTTGAAAGGCAGATACTACACCTCCCGTCACCGTATCATTTGGGTTGTTAAAGTATCTGATAAACTCGGTTTGGCCGATCGTCGAGGTAATGATACCACTGTCATATCCGAAAAGGAAGCCTATTCGTCCTCGACCAGAGTCATTAATATATGTTTATCGTATCTGCGCAACAAAGAATCGATGGGAAAAAAAGTGTGACTACCTCCAATGGCCAAGAAGACAGCGGACAGTAAAGTTGATAGCTTGGCCATGTTGGTCGGAAGGTCAAAAATTCGCTCTTCAAGTTATTAAATATTCCGAATAAAAGGTTGGTTGCACTGTCGAGCTATATACAAGGGATCACGCTACTGTCCGTTACATTGGTGCGTGACTCAGTGAGTATCCTTGGTCAACTCCAGCACAAAAGGCGGAGTTGTTGTATAGCCTGAAGCATGTCTTCATTGCCGCCGCAACGAACCGAAATCACAGATCCTGGGGTAAACGTGGAGATGGCTTCGGGAGGCTCTGACCCGAAAATGTCCCCAAGGAAACACAACAAAGACTAACAATACCGAAGTTGAGTCTGGCCAGCTCGTATTGATCATAATAGGCGCAATAATCTCTGGCCCATCCGGGGTGGTGAGCCCTAAGCGCGACGCGCCAGTTCGAACCGGGTTAAGCCGCCAGCCAAGACCACAGACTAATAACCATGAACCTCGGATATCCCGAGCCCCAGCATGTTGACAGCTACAGACTTATGTCCAGGACTGGTAGGCTTTTCCGGAGCCTTTCAATTTAGGTTTATCTACTTTTGTCTCCAGCCTATGGTGCGATGAACTGGCTCGGTCATCATTCTACCGAGACAGCACGCGTCGAGCAATCTACCGTACGATCTGGCCAATTTAGAGGTTGGTCACACTGCCTAAACCAATTCCAGCTTTTATTATCACTAGCATTCAATGATAGAGTACAAGCCGTGGCTTAGGGTGACTTCCTTTCCGTTCACTGGCCGACTGTCATCTCCATCCCGTAAATAGGTTGAAGACTTGCCGCTGCAGGGAAGCTTAATAAACGCGGTGGTACCAAATGGCACACGCACATTCACGGTGGCCTGACGCCGCTCGTCGCGTCTAAACTCAATAGTAATCGTCCCGTAGGGACAGTCCACGCTACCCTTGACATGGTCGAATTCCGCATTGTAAGGCGGGTCTACCACGAAAGTACGATATGCCGGTCCTGTAGGCTTCAGGCCTAAGACCGCTGCGTAGAACCATTCATAAATGGTTCCTAGCATGTCGTGGCATTTGCTACGGCACTCGTCTTGCCAGAATTCCAACAGGGTTGTTTCTCCACGCCGCAGAAACCGCATATAAGACGGATGCTCTTCTTGACGGGCCATCTGCAACACCAGATCCGGTCGCTTTGCGTCAGCCAGGGTTTTAAATAGGAACCGCAGCCCGATCTCTCCGGCACGGATGCGCCCATCTGCTACATCATCCAAAAAGGAAGCCATCACATCCTTGCGATGCTGTTCAGGGACCAGTCCAAATTGCAAAGCCATGGCTTGGGCGATTGCATCTCGGTCGCGGTTCGGGTAGTTGTCTAGTGAGGTGTAGTAGGCGTACGGCCGAGACGCGTCGTCGGTGACAAGCAAGTGACGGTTGTACACAGCGTAGATTCGAGCGGCCCACTGTTCGAAGTCTTCTGCCTTTTGCAGTTCTCCCAGCTCACGAGCCATCATAGCGACGCACTGTAGGCACCGGTAGTATATCGCGGTTTCGATATTAGCTTGATTATTGCCAAAGGCAATTCCGCGGCCCCAATCCCCAAGTCCGTGTACAATCAAGCCGCCTCGGCGCTCTTTGTTGCGCATGTATTCCATGTATCGCACTGCCGCGGGGAACACCTTAGCGACGACATGTGTCGAACCGTAGTACTCTCTCAGAATGTCGGGCAGAAGACATATGGCACAACCCCAGGTGATGGTATCATGCAGCGGGCCGCACATGTATCGGAATTCGGGCGCCATGGTGGGAACCAGCCCACTAGGCTCTTGAGCGTCCAGAACATCGTCGAGGATCTTGGTATACAGAGCTTCCATATCGCGAACGTACTGCGTGGCTGGCGCCAGCAGATGCGTGACCTCCAGCCAGCCGAACTTTTCAATTTGGGGACAGTCGGTGTGGTAACTGAACAGATTGCTGCTGAAGGTCCAGGATAGGGCATTTAGCAGTTGATTCACATCTGCCTTGTCTGTCTGCATTGTGCCCAGGCGGCGAGCAGCCGATGAGATATGGCGTCCCACAACTGATCGGATGACCGGGAGGCCGTCACTACCATCCAATGAAACCCCTTCAACTTGGATATATCGTGCGCTGGTGAAACTAAAGTCGGGCACCCAGGTTTCAGGGGCGCCCGTGCCGGCCAGATAAATACGAGAGAAGACGCCAGTCTCGAATTCCTTGAACAAGGGATCCGGCATCAACACTGTGCCGTCTTCTTTGACCGTCTCGCTGTAACGGACAATAATCTCCGATCCCCTTGGTCCCTCGACCTCTATGTGCACCATTGTTGAGGCGTTTTGCCCCAAATCGTAGCAGACCATACCAGGACGCGGCTTTGTGACCTTCACTGGCTGGAACGTCTCATGCAACACCACAGGTGGCTGAGTTTGGTAGTAGATATGACCACGAGGGCCAGTCAGCGGCTTGGCGAGGTCCCAGTCGGCATCCTCGAAGTCGGGCGTGTCCCAGCCCGTTGGATATTGTTGCCGATCGTGGTTTTCGGATGCATAGATATTAGCGAGGCTGGTGGCGCTTTTACGGACGCGCCAGGATGGATCCGAGATCATTGTCGTGTGTGTGCCGTCGCCATAGAAGAGATGCAGCTCACCAAAAAAACAGAGCTCGTTGCCATAGCGGACATAGGTGTTGTCTTCGTACATGGGCCAGAAGAACCGATCATCCCCTTTCTCGCCCGCATAGAAACCATTGCCGAGGTGCGCGCCCAACACATTGGCCCCTGTCTGCAACTGGGCCGTCACATCGTAGGCTGTAAATTGCACGCGACGATGGTAGTTGGTCCAGCCGGGGTCCAGACGATGGTCTGACGCTGGGGCTCCATTGACAGTCATGTTGAAATGTCCAAGGCCGGATGCAAACAGAATGGCACGGATTGGGGGCTTCGCCAAATCGAAGGCCTTGCGTAGGTAGATCGGTTTGTCGCCACCGTCACCAATCCACACGGCTTTCCATCGATTCGGCTCGTCCTCGAACCACGAGCGGAAAATGAGACTGGTATGAGGCATATAGGTCTGGTTCATGCTATAGGGCGGTAGCAGGTGAGCTCGAGGGTAGGCTGTGAAGAAGTGATTGGCGGCGCTGTGATGGGGTCGCTGCGACTTATCCCAAACGGTCACTTTCCAGTAATAGCTGCAAGTCGACTGGAAGCCATTATCGGGTCTGCAGATGATGTTACGTTGCTCATTGCTCATCACCCGGCCTGAATCCCAGGCCAGCTTAGCTTGATCGGTCGCATCTCCTTGCACAGCCGTTTCGTCGGTGCTCAACACCACCCGGTACGCGAGCTGTGAGGCATGTTTGTCGTCGGTTTCAATCGTCCAATAAAAGCGAATCTCGTCCACATCAATTCCTAGTACTTCATGAAAGCCGTGAAGTCCACATCGCGTAATCTTCATTTTGGGTCTATATACTGCTCATAAAAATGGATGAGAGGCGGTGCTGTTTCTCCCCTTCTCGCTGGGATACCCCAATTTTTGAGGGGAAGAGATGGGGTTCGTCTGTCAACATCTGAGACACGCGGAGTGCCTCGCGTCAATAACACCCGAGACCCTGTAATTTCTACTATGGATTCCAACCATCTAGCTATCTTGTAATTCCCTATATTATCGCCTTAGGCTTGGCAGTGCGTAGCGTCAACTAGCGTAGGTGGGAGTGTTCGAGTCAGGGTGCGCGGGCTCTCCCCGCAACTGCCGTGTTTCCTTCCCGGGACTGACAGATTCCAGTAGTCGCTCAACTCGATGCAATTAGATCCCTCGTTTGACATCCTCCCCACGGGAACAGGCTTGCCGCAATAGGAGTCACACATATTCACTAGTTGATTTTGGTCTCAAGCCCATATCAACTACATGTTCTCAAATTAGGTGTCCCAAGTACCATTCTGGAAGATAGGGCCTTCGGCTCCCATCCGACATCTCGACTCTTCCCTGCTGACTCACAACACCAAAAACCTGAGGCAGGAGGCAGGAAGTTATCCACCTTACCCCGGCTATTTTAGTACCGTTTATTAGGTCTTCTCATATCAAATCCTGTGGTGTATTGCGCTTCAGAAACGTGGGCGTACAAGTATCGTCATCATCTAGTGGTAAGCGTACTTGGGTTCTGTATACATAATCTTCCCTGCATATGGGGTTGGAAATAGGAACCTGTTTAGTTAGTAGATTCCGCACCTTAGAGGCTTGTTCCGGCCGCAGGCCCCCTGCAAGAGCGCCCTGGCCGCGCTAGTATTAGGGTTTTCCAATATCTATCTATCTATCTATAGACTTCCCTGATCCAGACCCAATTCCTGCTCTTATATTCTCGCCTCATTAAATGCAATCAATCATCAATTTACATCATATTGTCGTCAAAGGCTCAATTGTATGAGGGTGGATGATGTACATCCATTTGGACTTGCCATATAATCGTGTTAACCTTGGCTGATATGTCTTGCTACGTCATGAGTTCCACCATTCCCATATCAGTGGAGATCTTGATCTGTGACGCTCTAACTCTTGCTTTTGCCACCGTAAGCATATGATTGGAAATGACCGTCGACGCTTGATCTCCAGCGCAATCTGCACCAAGACAGGAGTGGGGTGCTGGTTGTATGCTTTCCTGATTCTGGGTCGCTCTTACTGCCATCGAGCCTACCTCCACCGCAGATATGCTGCGACAGCGGAAGATGAGTGCAGACGCTCAAGCCCGAAATTCGGATGTGTTATCTTACCGACTACAACGTCAAGATAGAAGAGCCACGGCAATGTGATTGGTTGGGCTCTCTGGGGCTGTGATAAGGGAGACGCGAAAATTTGCAGAATGTCGGATAAAGATAATATTGGTTGATTGATAGGCAGTCGGTTTGGTACATTGTGATATATGCTATGCACGTGCTAACATTTACCTGTTCCTCCTGCTGATCAGGTGAGTACATAGTCAGACGGCATTATTCGGGGACTAGAAAGGCAAATTGCAGGAAACATGTACCGCTTACAACATTTACAATACATTTAATTCTCGTTTAAGGTACCAATCCAAATCAAGTTATGCCTCTTCTGATCAACAGATTGGGTTTCCATCGTAAGCTCGACGTTCATTGCTGGGAAAGGGCACCGGGCCAATTGTAACTTAGGCATTTATAGGTGTTTGGCTAATAGAATATGTAATCCTGTCCGTAATCACCTTTTAAGGTATACGTAGGTTGGTTGTTGACGCGCCTAACCAAAGAAGCAGCAGGGGTGAAGTAAGGGTGTTTGATCGACTCACGACAGGAGGGGAAAGTGCCATACGGGGAGTCTATATGACCACATGATTACTGTATGCGTTCGGTTCGCAGTTATACTCGACCTCCTCAAGGAATGTGAAAATGGGGTGGTATTATGCAAATTTCCTTCATCCAGTCTGTTCTCAAGATGCCGGGACAGAGCGTTGGCGGGTGGCGGTGGGGTGTTGTATTGGGAAGGCTCTGCAGAGGTCTATATGCAGGTTGTCGGAAAGAAGCAGTTAAGAAACGGTAAAGGCTTTTACCTTATTTAATGCCCGTGAAACATCGGCCGATTTACGCATCTCTCTTGTCGTACCAAACGTGGTGAAAAGCAATATATATATAGGCCCCATTCTCTAGTGGAGTTTTTAGATACATCCACACTGTCATTCCATTCACTGGGTACACAGAACTCCGACAAGATGCCAAAATACGAGACCGGGATCAAAGCTACTTACTATGTAAGCTGCGTTTGCCTTTACGTCCTCGCCCGATATTTCGGGCTTGTGACAAACAATCCATCGTCACTTATCGGTACCATCTTTGTGTCCTGGTCGACTTCCTTGCCTTTTGCTATTTGTGTCACGACCCTTCTAAGAAGGAGCCACAGCGCCTTCAACGACATTCCTGGCCCACAGGTTCGAGACAATACCAAAATACTCCCGCAAGTCTAGGTTGAAGCTAACAGCTATAGTCTGCCAATTGGCTCTACGACCACGTGTTCGATATCTTTGACGAGCCTCTAGCGAAGGCAGTGACTCATTGGATCAATGAGAGACCCTATCCGCATGGACTGATACATTTCTTCGGCTTATTTGGCTCCGAGTACATAGTTCCTACAGACCAGGATGGACTTGTCGAAGTACTCGCGACTCATTCATACGACTACGAAAAATCACGTGCCTTCCGGCGATACGCGAATCGGTTTTTTGGAGATAACCTCGTTTCACAGGAACAGGAGATACACAAGGCAAACCGGAAAACCTTCCTGCCTGTCCTCAATCAAACGAACATACACGTCATTCATCCACTCTTGACCGCCAAGTCGAGGCAGTTTAATGAGTATATCTCTTCATTATCAGATAACGTCGCCGAAAGTGACACGCAAAAAGCTGCCGTGCTTTGCATTACAGACGCTGTATTCAGAGCCACAATGGACACTGCAGGTATAGTTGCACTGGGAATTGATCTGGAGACGATTAAGGGCAAAAACATCCCCCTGTTCAAGGCAATGAAAACGTTGTTTACTAGCAATCGTGAGAAGAAGAAACGGTTTATCCTACATAACTTACTGCCACACTGGATAGACAGGTTAATTCCTTCCGACGAGGAAGAAGAAATGGATACCTCAAAATCTGTTCTTTTTACTGGCATCCGTTCCATGGTGCAAATAAGATTGGCAGAGACAGACAGAAAAGATGACCACCTTACTTACTTGTCCAACGTTCTACAATTGGGGTCCCTCGAAAAGAACGAATACATAGGACAGATAAACGCCATCCTTGCTGCTGGGTAAACCTTTCCAGATCTCCTTCCACCTGAACGAGATTACTAAAACAAGAGGTAGTTTCGAAAGCTCGGGCGGCTCACTCTCCTTTGTGATCTATTGTCTTGCAGCCAATCAAGATGCCCAGCAATTAGTACGCAAGGAAGTACTGCAAAGGAAAGGTGAAAAGGTGACCCTTGATGAAGATGAATATGACCGTCTTCCTATCTTGAACGCAATGGTCATGGAGTCACTGCGCCTTTTTCCCTCTTTTGGACTCCTCCTTCGCAAAGCCATTCGCGACACTACCATCAAGGGACGTCATATTCCCCGTGGAACGAACATCGCAATCTGTCCGAAGGCTATAAACTCTGCTCGTCATATTTGGGGAGACGATGCCGAGAAGTTCAATTTGGAACGGTGGATTGATCGGTCCGATCCGGAGAATCCCAAGCAGGTGCCCACAGGAGGCGCTCCAAGTACTAACTGCATGCTTTCCTTCGGATATGGAACACGGAGTTGTGTTGGGAGACACTTGGCTATGGCGCAAATCAAACGGCAAATAGCGCTGATTGTTGAGCGCTTCCATGTGGAGACTGAAGATGATAAGTTTCCACACCCTTCGGGATTGTTTGCCACAACACCACCACCGGACTTGCGTCTTCGATTCACCGAATTGAACTGATCGACAACGCTGTGTAACCTGCACAACCACAATTCTAGTCCGGATTTTCTTCTAGTGTTTAACATGATACAGTGACCGAATTCATGGTTGTCGCAGTAAAGTATGTCTAAATGTCAAATGAAACTTCATTTTCTGGGATTAAGTTTCTCCATGGCCTGCTATTGTTGGGACTTCATCATAATTAATCCCTTAGCCTGTTCCTTCCGGTCTATTAGCTTGCACATGGTCAGCATATAAAACCGGTGTAGCAGTCAATCGTGGATGATATGGTAGTTGTTAGACTCTCCAGTCGTTGCAGTATTTACAAGACATTGACTCCTTCACGATGTCTAATGCACCACAACAGCCAATAGACCTTCATGCCCTGCAGAAATATTTTGCTCGTGTGCTACCCATAATCCGAGCTCCTCTAAAAGTAGAACAAGTTGAGCTACCTCATTCTAGGTGCTCTAGTATGATGGGTTAACCGGTATCGCACGACAGTTTGAGGGGGGACAGTCTAACCCAACCTACAAGATCACGGATTCCGGTGGTGTACCCTACGTCTTACGGAAAAAGCCACCAGGAAAGCTCCTCTCCAGGGCTGTACATCAGATTGAGCGGGAATATAGAGTGCTCTCTGCTCTGCAGAATACGAATGTTCCGGTCCCTAGGACGTACTGTTTGTACGAAGATGACGACATTCTCGGGACACCATTCTATGTTATGCAATTCTTGGATGGTCGAATCTTCACCGACTCTACTATGCCCGGAGTGAGTCCCGCAGAAAGGACAGCTTTGTAAGTTTCCCGGTCTACTATGCCATTATTTTGTTTTGCATGAGCTGACTTTGGATTCTCAGGTGGAGAGATGCTGTGCGCGTGTTGGGTAAAATCCATACCACCGAGACCCGCTCCATCGGGCTGCAAAGTTTTGGTAAGCAAGGCGGGTATTATGACCGTCAGTTGTCGACATTTACTACACAATCACGAGCACAGGAAAAGGTGGAAGACCCCTTGACAAGAGCGCCGATAGGAGAGTTACCGCAGCTCGCCGAGATGATCGAATTTTTCTCACGCCACGATCTTCGACCCCGAGATCGACATGCTATGGTGCATGGTGATTACAAGATTGATAACCTCATATTCCATCCCACAGAATCACGAGTAATCGCGGTCCTTGATTGGGAAATGTCTACACTGGGCCATCCGCTTTCGGACTTTTGCAACCTCACACATCCATATTTCTGGAGTCTTCTAAACCAAGACGTGGCAGGGTTTCGCTCCGGGAAGGTGCTGGGATTACCTAGTCGCGCGCAGTGCGTGCAGTGGTATGCGGAGGCTGCAGGCTGGGATCCAGAACCAGACCTTTCGTGGGGTGATGCATTCTTCGCATTCCGAACCACCGTTATCTTGCAGAGCGTGGCCGCCAGGCATGTCCAGCGGCAGACCACCAGCCCTGACTCGGCAAAATATGCTTTGAAGGTGAAGCCTGCAGCGAAGGATACTTGGGAACTAGTTAGGAAAGCCAAGGTTGAATCTAAGAAGGGAAGATTGTGAACGGGGTTGTAGATCTAGTGTGAGATTTTTGGGGTTAGCCTTGCCCTGGTTGCAAGGAGAAATCTTGTGATGTCATGGTGTAACACACCAGCTCGCTAGATGCAAGGCAACTTGTGAGTTGAGATTAGCGCTTAGTAACGCGAAAATCTTTGTTGTTGCAGCATAGCTAGAGATCACTCATGGTGATGAGATGTATCTTCTTGTTTGGCTTTAGTCGTGAAACCTGTAATGCATGGTACTTGGTTGATCTAGGAATATAGTGTAGGGTGGTAATCTACAAGTAGATGCGCTACTGCAACCTTGCTACTGCGATCGTTCTTACATTGCCTATGCGGCGCCATCTCATCAGCCATGTCTTCATCTAGCACCTTTCGGGTCATTGAGCATACGGTGCCGTGCCAACATATTCGAGAATATCCGGCAGCCACCAGAAAAACACAAGAAGATGTTCTTCATCTGGCTGTTAAACAGTACATTCCCACAAACGACCCTACGCCGCTTCCTAGGGCCGTAACAATTCTAATCGCTCCAGGGAGTGGGTTTGCAAAAGTATCACGATTGTCTTCATTTCAGGAATTCTCACTAACCGCTACCTGAAATATAGGAGCTCTATGAGCCCCTCTGTGAGGAATTGCTGGTCCGCTGCAATAGAGACGGGCTCAGCATTCGTAGTATTTGGGCGGCAGATCCAGCGCATCAGGGTCAAAGCAGCATAGTCAACGAAGGCCTTCTTGGAATTGACGGTGAGCCCACCATCTGACACACTATGGGAGTTTTAGAAAACAAGCCAATCTAATAATTGACGGTCATACAGTAAGCCATTTTGATCATAGCCGGGATCTTCTCCATCTGATCAATGTCAAACGAGATGAAATGCCACACCCCATAATTGCTATTGCACATAGTGCTGGAGCTTTTGCACTGTTAGCTTCCCCAGATTAGTGATTCCTGGCCGTCGCAAATAGCTGGCTAACATGTTCCTTCTAAGAGTCAACCTGTGTCTCATCCATCCACGACTTTTCCAGGCTGTAGTTCTCATTGAGCCACCCATCACACGTCCAGTGACTCGGCTGAGAAACAAGAAACTGTACAATCACAGTACGCTGCTGCGTCCTCATTTACAGTTCTCTGTTCATCGACGAGAAAATTGGCCATCCCGAGAGGCAGCGGCTGAATCCTTTCGTCGAAAAGCCTTTTACCAGACCTGGGATCCACGTGCCTTCGAGCGGCTGGTGACATATGGCTTGCGGAATGACTCAAGGAAGTCTTCTGCACATGAGAAGAATAACCAGTCTACTAGGCCAACTGCTGTGACACTTTCTACTCCGCTGGCCCAGGAGCTTGCCTCGTTTGGGCGACCGTACCATGACCTCCCTGCTCCTGATGCAGGCCCAAATGATATTAGAAACCGCCTAACCCACCCAGATCTGGACCCTGAGCTCTTGACATCAATACCCTTTTACCGCCCAGAAATAACAGCACTGTTTTCTCGATTACCGTATTTGCGACCGAGTGTACTATATATCTTTGGTAGTGAGTCACATATAAGTCTCCCGGAGTTGAGGAGCGATAAACTTCAGGTTACGGGCGTTGCTACGGGAGGCAGTGGCGGAGCTGTTCCTGGCCGTGTGCGTGAAGTAGTCATGAAAGGGTATTCACATCAGGTTACTTTCGAAGCAGTCAATGAATGTGCGGATGAGATTGCTCGTTGGTTAGTTTGCGAATCAAGGCGTTGGTGTAAGGAGGTAAAGGCCTGCCATGAAAGATGGGATGGATTGCCTGGTGCTGTGGATAATACTACAGTCGAGAAACGTTGGAAGGTGCACATTCCAAAGGCGCATCGGATCAAATCAAACCTTTGAGGTGTGGCTGTCACCATCTATCCGGTTTCCATGTAGCTCGTAGAAACTCTAAGATAAAATCCGCCTCATTCGGTAGTATTCACTGAACAAGTAGATCCAGACCATTGTGCCTTTTGGTTGCAGAAGGATCGTCTCCATGCAGAGGTATGCCTTGCGCAAATGACGAAATTAAATATGCAGGCGACCCAAATAGGGGGGTAACCGCATATGCAGGTTGCCTGGTACGCTGGAGGGCGAGACCGATGCTTTCTTGGATAAATGTGGAATGGCGCTTTTACAGTGTGAACATTTGCATCGAATTGATGAGAGACCCAGGATGAGGGCCCAAAATCCGATAACAGTACACCTACAAGGCCATATAGCGGTCGTAACTATCAGCAACCCTGAGAAGCTCAATTCCATGCGCCAGGACCACTATTTTCAGTTAGGGGAAAGCCTTCGCAATGTCGACAGAACACCTGAAATCACCATAACAGTCCTGACCGGCACGGGACGGTTCTTTTCGGCGTGAGCTTCACTCAACCCTGGGTCGTGGCCAAAAAGCTAATGATAGTATCCGTTGATCAAAACAGGGGCACCGATGTTAGTTCTACGTCTCCAAACATGGCCCACGGAACTGATATACGACGCAACATGCGTAGCATGTACTTTTCAAATCTCGACCTCACCCATATACTCGTCAATTTCTCCAAAATTCTCATTGTGGCACTGAATGGGCCGGTTGTCGGGTTTCCGGCAGCTCTCGTTGCACATGCAGACTTCATATATGCTGCGCCCCATACCTTTCTCCTCACACCATTCTCTTTGCTCGGCGTCGCGGCTGAGGGTGCAGCGTCTCGCTCCTTCGTACGGCGCCTTGGGATTTCCAAAGCAAACGAAGCCTTAATAATGAGCAAGCGGATACCCTGCGAAGAGCTCGTTGCCAACGGGTTCGTCAATAAGGTTATCTCTGCCCCGTCCGGAAAGCCAGATGATTCTGTTGGGTTTCTGAAGCGGGTACTCGAAGAAGTACAAAAGCGATTCAGTCCGATTGCCACACAATCTAATTTGCTGTCTATCAAAAATTTGATTCGTGAACCGGGGAGACGCATAGATAGTCAGCAAAACTGCGACGAGGTTTTTGCGGGGCTAGAAATGGTCACAACGGGTATCCCAGGGGAGCAGATGCGGGCAATTAAGGAAGGCCGAAAGAGACATAAATTGTAAACGGTGTGTCATGTAGAGTGAGCACAGTTACCCCCAAGCTGATGCGCGTTCTTCGCACCCAAGTCTCGGTCATACAAGTTGGTCGAGTCCTCATCCTCTGATTCCACTTCTATACCTACATCGTCCTCAATAGACACGCTAGAAAATCAGCAAAGCCAGGCGTATCGCGAATCGTATGATAAATAGCTGCCAACCAAGCTCATCATTGTCTTTGTTTTATCCTCCGTGACAGGCTGCTACCCCTACGCAAAGAAGCGGGAAGCTGGACCGTAAGTAGATGATATCTTAAATTAGAATATATTCATGTCTATACCAGCTTCAAGACTGAGTGAAGGTTTTTCTCCTCCAAGGCTTTGCTGAAAGGCGTAGGATCCTCACAGCCAAAGGATCCAGGAACCTGCTCTTGATACAACAGGTCTAGCTCATAGTGTAGTCTCATACTTGCTCGCCTTCCTAATCTGCGATCCATAAATCCAAAAGATCCACGGAATCGGAGCCATAAAAAGAGTAAAAGCAGCCAAAAGAGTTGTTGCCCATCCTACACCAAGCCGTTCAAACATCTGGAGAGTGAACATGGGGAATGCGCAGCTGAGTATGTATTTACTGAACATCATTGCGCCTGAGGCAGATGCACCATAAAGTGGACCGTAGGTGTCCATCATGTAAAGGTTCGTCCCAGAATACACCAACAAGCAGGAAAACATCGAGAGGCCTTGAAATACTATGGGCACCATCCAATGGACATGGAAGTTGGCCGTCCAACTAAGAATCAGCAAGGATGGTGGAAGTAGCAAGCTGCCCCCCAAAGCTGATACAAGACGAGACTCCGGAGGCATTTTGAGACTCGGCTCGTGGACTTGTTTCCATGACTGCAGCCGCGGTAGGAAGAAGTATCGGTCTATCAGAGCGTGCGGTATACAGGCAACCATATTGCCCACGGTCACGCCAAGATACGAAAGAGCCTGGGCGGTCGTATCGAACCCATAGTACTTCTTAAAAACCCAAGGAACGGAAATTACGAATGCATACAACAAACCAAAAAGAAATCCGTTATAAAGGCTGATGAATGTCACTATCGGTTCGGTCAGAAGCATATGAATTGGCCGCTGGAAAAGAAGGATAAAGAGGTGCCGAAAGCTAGCGCCAGTAATCGTCTCACGGTTAATGTCCGCCGTGCCTAGTGACGTCGCCCGACGTCGTAGAATAACCGCTTTATAGGTCTCCCTGGTTAAGATCAACGGGGGATAGAAAGCTCCCGCGAGAATTACTGGTACCCATTGTGTCCAGCTCCACTTTCCGGTCTGAATCATGATAAGTCCCCCAACGAGAGGTGCCAGTGTCGCAGCAACAGTTGGGGCTGCATAGTAGATAGCGAGGACGGTGCCACGTTCACTGTCGTGAGTATAGTCCAGAATGGTTGCCGAGGCGTTGCTGATGTTTGATGACCCAAAGACAGCGGCAAAGAAACGACACAGGGTTAGGGCCGACATAGTCTTGGACACGGCGCCACCAATCATGAACAACAAGAAAATTGGAGTAGTTGCGAGATATACGGCTTTGCGACCGTAAGTTTCAGACAGGGGTGCCCCAACAATGGGCCCAAATGCTAGTCCCAGATTATATAGGGCGAGTGGGAGCATGGCGACCTCAGAGCTGCAGTTCATGACTTCCATCACTGCTGTCTGTGCGGGTGCATAGATGGCACCTGCAAAGGCACTGGCAAGAGCCAGCAGCGTCACACTGGCAATTCCCACGACACGCCTGGCCAGCGAAAAGTTCCGAGGATTATCAGGGTCGTCTGGTCCATTCCAATCCATTACAGGGTGAGTTGGGAAACCAGGGATCCCTTTTTCCTTGTGGTCCATCTGTCTACTGTGCTCGATTATCTAACGAACAGCGAACGGAGAGCGAACGGACAGTGAACGGACAGTGAACAGGCGGTAAACGAAAAGTAATATTATGAACGACGCTGGTCGTATACTGATTACACAGGACGATGCTTTGTTTTCTATCCCAAACCGAAGCGAAGACCGTGATGCTGTTGCTTCTCAGTATCCACCGCCGTGAAAAGGTTGCGCGAATAAATGTCTCGGTCAATAGAATTGTCTGGTGATCAAGTTCCTATTTTTGTGTTGATCAGAGAAGTCGCGACCTTTGTGCAACAGAAGGTGATGTCCTTACCGGTGCATCGGATATGCACTTCCGAACTCCGGTACATTTTCAGGTCAGCCAGGTGAATTGCTTGACGGAATTCAACTCACCACTACTTCATCATGACCAATATTCCCATCGATGCAGGGAACACATCCCCGGCCACTTCATACTAGCAGGGTGAGAGGACTACCTCTTACTACCCTTCGTAAAATTCCACAAGGGCAATCCCGAAATTGAACCGACTTGGATACACATGGTTTGAGCTAGCATCCAGCGCGCCTCCCTCACGCTTTTACAATGTGTATTGAAGTTATGGCTCGCTTCTCTCTGCCTCTCCCTTCTCTATCCATCGCCTCCTCGCACTGTAGAACCCTAGGCCCACCAGCCACAGTCCAATGAGCATCACGGCCTGCACGGGAGCAACAACAGCACCACAAGCAACCACAAACCCACTGACCAAAGTAAACACAACGGGGACACAGATTGTCGGCTTGTACGGGCGGGGCAGCTCTGGTTCACGGACCCGAAGGATAATGGCACCGGCCATGGTCAGAAAGAAACAGATATACGCAGACAAACCACTGAAAGTCGCCACGAGCCGAAAGTTCCCGAGGAAAATATACACAATGTAACAGGCGGTAGGGAAGAGAATTGCTTTGATCGGAGCATCTGCTGTCGAGGTCGATGCCCTGAAACGGAGCCCACGCGGGCCAGGAAGGCGGGCAACCAGTTCGAATTGGCTGCAGCAACCACGATGCGACCAGCGACAAACGAACTTCCCAACAAGGATCCTGCCACCACCAGGCAGATCAGAGCCGCCGCGATGGCACCAAATGTAGGTCCGAGTAGGTGGCTGAACGAAGTCTGCGGCAAAATGTCAGCCTGCAATACTCACTTCCATGGTCAGTGACACCCATGCGGACATTCATACCACTGCTACACTATCAGTTGTGGACACTACCCTCCAAGTCAACAGTATGTAATAGGCAATATTCACTACGATGAAACTGAGGATGATAATGGGAACGGCGGTATTCATGGCTAGAGGCAACTGACGGGCCGGAGCAGAAAGTTCGGCACTGACATAGCTTGCCTGGCGATGGATTGATTAGCCATCATGAGAGCATACTCCGGGGATTGGTTTGGCAGCTTTTCCACTGCCTCATGGCTTATCCCATTCCGAGTATGCCCACAGTGCACCATATAGTGCGGCGGAATAATGACCGAGAGATTCCCACCCATGTAACTTCTGCCACTCTATCTCCCTCCCGTCCAAGCCAACGGTAGTGCGAGCACCAAACCAGGCTTTCGTCAACCAGTCCTGTGGTTCGCGTGGATTGTCTCTATCCCAGCCAGCAAGGTGATAGAGGACGACACCCAGTCCCGCAACCACAGTGAGTGCGATAGCAGCGAACTTTGTGGTGAGAAAGAATGTATTCAACCGCGTACTAAACTGGGTACTGACCGAGTTCGCCATGCTAATGACGAGAAACACCAGAGATGATAAAAGCTTATATACCATTCTATCGGGTTGATCGGTCACCCCGATCGCAGAGTAGATGTTTTCCACGAACACAATGCTCGTGATTGCGAGTGAGGTCGGCACTACCGCAACGACCCATGTCCACGTGGAAAGGAAGCCAAAGACATCCCCGTAGATATACTGAAGGTACGGTTGAACACCTCCTGTGGTGAAAGATTGAGCTGGTGAAGGGTGTTCTAAAACAGAGGGTCTGTACTGACCTTCACCTGGAATCGCCGCCCCGAGCTCGGCGAGAGTTGCAGCACCTGTCCAAGCCAAGATACCCCCCACAAACCACACGACCAGGGCTGCCCCTGGGGAGGGAACGTTGATGTCAATGGCGCCAAGGGAGGTGAAAACCCCGCTTCCGACTACGATATTGACGATGATGCTGAACGCCTCGGCCGTACCCAAGTTCGGCCGAAATGAGGCATGATGGGCTGGGCTAGACGCAGGGCCTGCATTACTTCCATACTCCAGCGTAGGATTATCTCCCAGGAGAGGAGTATTACTATCTTCATCCTGGGTGGACATTCTGGTGGCAGTAGGCTAAACCCGAAGATTATTGACTTCGGCGAGACTGAAGTGTAACTTCCTGACCGCCGAATCCGCAGCGGAACTGGCGGCACACTTTAGCGGCGGGGTTCGAAAAGCCAATCAACCAAATCAATCAATCACAATGCGCTGTCGACGAGGCGAGCAAGCCATCTTCCCCACCCAGCCGGAACCCCTCCTTGCGTGACATGATGTATGAGTGGTAGGAATGTCTTGGGGCGTGGGTCCTGTCGGTCTGTTCCGGACACCAATACCAAAAAGGGGCTATCGTCGGGTCGTCCAATGCAGAATCTCGTTTGGTGTCTATACTTCGCCCACCATCCTCCAACTGTTTTGGTTGTGAATACTACGGCTGCAGGAGTACTAGATACCTTTATTCTCTGTTCCGTCTACCATGCTGGCTGATTTATAAAGATTTCGGCGTGGATTTTCCATTCTAATGCGCGTGTCATCGAAATATATCTTTGCTGTACTCATAAGAGTAGATATTCATCGTACTAGACCATCTTACATCGATAAAAAGAGCCACCGCAATTGCCGATAATCACTGAAAGTAGTTACGGAACCTTAATATATGGCAGGGGTCCAATAGTACTCCAGTCCCTGTCGAGGATGAACTGTTGTACTGGCTGTGCGCCCAATTGACCTACATCCACCCTTAATGGTGCCTAGGGCGGGCCAAGCCGGTCGCTGGAGCAGGGTGTCCAGTATAGTCTCCTCTACTCCTTTCCACCATGACTGAAAAGCAAGCGACATAAGAAAACAGGTAGACAAAGACAGTCCTGGAGGCACACATAGTTCGGATATTAGGATATATGACGCAACCCGGCCTTTCCATTGTGTAATTCACCACACTCGAATAGCAACAAACCCCAAGGGACTCTTGACGGTAACAGATAACGCAAACCATCCTTCTTTAGTCTCATCAAGGAGAGGGATTACCACACATCAACTACTAGAAACCCTGACTTGGACTTAACGGGAGCAGAACCTTCTCCGGGGGCAATTGGCCCAAGGGTTCTGCAGAGGCGTCAGGTAATCCGAACCAAAATGACGCAAACTAAGCCTGACCTGAATCTCGATGGCCCTGCGCGGAGATGACAGGCCGTAATGCCGATATTGTCTGCTCCAATGCCGAGCAAAATAAATTAACCGGGCTTACATGGCTGTCCTAACAAATTTCTTGACATCCTTAGCGGTGGTGCCTGGATGCGGACCATGCCCTGTGTATAGCTTGTTCATCGGTAGGCCGGATCCTTCTCTAAGGTTCCGTGTATCCTATATCAATGCCAACCCCTCAGATTAGATCGCTTATACGAGTGCCTTTACACTATGTAGCTGGATATCATTCACTGATGGACCGGTTAAAGATTTTCTGGTTTTAGGTGATTGTGGTTAACGTAATTTGACTTGCAATTTGCGTCGCGTAAGACGTGCTACTACTGGAATCTTCCTGGACACATAACCAACAGCGGACGCTATTTAAACTCTTGAATTTACTAGGGTGATTTGATTTCACCACCGGACTCCGATGCATCTCAATATGGACAGTCGGGATGTCGCCACTTTCAGCAGTCAGTTCGCTGTGGTATCGTCTCAAGATGTTAATGGCGTTGCCTCTGGGATGGTATGAGGAAGAATGATGCCATTAGTGAAGAGTGTTGACCTGATCGATACTCAGCCAAGAGCCATTCTATAAATATCAGGTTAAATCTGCTGTTCTTCTCATCTCATCCCCATCGCACTACAACGTTCTTCAAGACATCGAAGCTCATTCTTCCAACGCAGAAACACCTCTTCTCTCAGTTTCACCACCTCCCAACTCATCAAGATGAAGTTCACTGCTGCAATTGCTACTGCCATCCTCGCCAGCGTTGCTGTCGCGGCTCCCGAGCGTGGCCTCGAGGCTCGCCTCAAGGCCCGCGGCGCCAGCAAGGGATCCCGACCCCTCCAGGCAGTCGCGAGACCTGCCTCGACCAAGAACCAGACCAACGTCGAGTACAGCTCCAACTGGTCCGGTGCGGTGCTGGTGGAGCCTCCTTCTGCCGCGGCGACTTACACTGCGGTGACCGGCACCTTCACTGTTCCTGAGCCCACTGGCAACTCTGGAGGCAGTCAGGCTGCATCTGCCTGGGTTGGTATCGATGGAGATACCTATGAAAACGCCATTCTCCAGACTGGTGTTGACTTCACCGTGACCGATGGAGAGGTCTCATTCGATGCCTGGTATGAGTGGTACCCGGACTACGCCTACGACTTCAGCGGCATCGACATCTCTGCCGGTGATGAGATTGTTGCCATTGTCGAGTCCTATACCTCGACCACCGGTATTGCTATCATTGAGAACAAGAGCACCGGCCAGAAGGTCACCAAGGAGCTGTCATCCAGCTCCAGCCTTGGAGGACAGAACGCAGAGTGGATTGTGGAAGGTATTATCAGCCGCACATTCCTGTCCCAACTTTGTCAAACGCTAACGGGATCCTAGACTTCGAGGAAAATGGTTCGCTCGTCGACCTGGTGGACTTTGGCACTGTCACCTTCACCGGTGCTGTTGCCAAGGCCGCGGGAGGCCAGAGCGTTGGCCTTACGGATGCTACCATCATCGAGATCGAGGAGAATGGCCAGGTGGTGACTGATGTTACCATCGACAGCGACTCCGAGGTGACCATCACCTACGAGTAGGCGTGCCCACGAGGCCTGTCACTGTAACTGGAACGGTGGCAGAATACGTTGACCAGCTCAATCTATAGCGGATTGATTGGCATGCAGTGATGTGATGATGTGATCGGCTCAGCATTTGAGTGAGGAATTGGAGGAGGAATTTGTAGATAATTTTGATTTTCTAGTATTACTTTGCGGGGCCCCAGTTGAATATGAGTCATTCTTTTGATTGATTTTCCATAAACCGTAGATAAACATAAAATACAGCGTAGATGATGCTCGAAAAGGCAGACGAGGTGCAGGTGCTGCATTTCTTAGATTCAGTAAGGCAATAACGGTCCTGGTGTTCACAACTCCAGGTCGCTAACGTGGAGTACGACTTTCATTTATGATGTATATTCCAGTTGTGATACAGAGCACTCAATTGGAGAGGCATTGTACAGTTATGCTATCTTCCAATTAGGTCGTGGACGTCCTCAAGCACAAAAACAAGACAATACATGCAGGAAGTATTTGCTTAAACAATCCAATTACTGCTAACAACGACCGGATTACCTTTAAGAACGAGTAACTAAAATCCGACCACAGAATACTATTAATTCAGAAGTAATGTAAGCATGCCGTGGCAAACATACATCGCTCCTCCATTCACATCAGTCCCCGGAGAGGCACGAAGAAAATGACTTGCAATGGCCTCAAGCAGCACGGCATGTGCCAGAGATCTGGGTCTGCGGGGGACCAACGTCCACCGTCTGGGCACCATTGATGGTAGTAACGCTGTTGTCAACGCCGTTAAAGGTGCACTTAACGCCACCCGTGGTGGACGAGATGTGGGAGATGCTTAGGGGATTACCTGGGTTCCTCGGTTAGCTTTCCCAGAAAATCTAGTTTGCCTGATACCTACTGATTTTGGTGCTGACACCGTTGGTTGGGAACTGCTGCTGGAACTGGGCGTTTGCAGCACCGACGAAGGTGATGAGCACCTGACCCCCAGTGGGCTGTGTTTGACCGCGTTTGCTGGGAGTCGATCCAGATCCGAACCGGCAAGACCCCTGAACCTGGGTCTGCGGAGGACCGACGTCAACCTGACCTACGCCGGTCACAGTAGTCACGCTGTGATCAATGCCATCAAAGGTACAGACAGCACCCTGGGTGCTGCAAGATATGTGCGAGATACTGAGGGGGTTGGCTAGTGATATTAGGCTGGATACATAATGAATTGTGCGCGGAGAACGTACTTATCTTGACATTGGACCCGTCAGTGGGGAAGTCCTGGGTGAATTGGGCATCAGCTGCGCCAATAAAGGTGACTTTGGCAGTATCATGGGCTCTGCCGATGTTGAGCCCAAGGACAGAGGTCGAAAGAAGGGCAGGAAGCAAAGTAAACTTCATGTTGAAAGGAGGTAGTCTAGTGAAGGTCCGGTGGAGTTATAGTAGGACGTCTGCAATGTAACTCACTTGTTTTGAGCTGTTGAAGAGTCATCAATAGACGAGACTCGCCGGCCTTTTATAGACAGAAAAGGGAACAAGTCCAGCACCTTTACTGTATAGACACTGAGCGATTTCTTATGACCTACGACATCCCCGTGTACCACGTTTGCTCTATACGAGGAATGCAATTACCTCATCTGACTGAAACCATGGAAGCTGTTGGCTGGAAATCAGGATCCCTCACTAATCAAAAAATAATCCTTCATCAACCACCCAACTCAGCTGAAACTCCCATACAAATTCTATGGGAATTCCAGCAGAAATGGATAACATAAGAATGAACCATTACTTTTCACATGAAGTCTCGTATTATGGACATCATTCTGATTATTTGATTAATATTTCTTTGTTCACTATTCTTTATCCCACTTGCTTACCCCACTTTCTTTGTTTAATGATCAAACTAATGATTCATGATTCTGATCTAGAATCATTCACTGAAAATGATAAATAAGGTCTTTCATCCCCTAGCTGAAGCAAGCAAGCAAGCAAGTTGAATTCATTCACTTCCTATCTAAAGGATCCACTTATTTCCTATTTAGGAAGTAAATGAGTGTTTGCTTCCCTTTGACAAGTTTGTCAATTGTATTGACCTAATATTATTATTATTATTATTACTTTGATCTAGTTTCCTGATTGGGACTAGTATCACGTGACCAATATAGAGAGTCCTGTAAAAGGCTTTTACAGGATCCTCTATCTATTCCAAGCTGTTCATCAGGCGACCCCTTTTCTACCTACACGGACCTATTCGGGATGAATGTTGACACAATAATGACGCTGCTATTCATGGAATTTAGCCTGTTCCGGTCATTTTGATGATTCGGAGAGGGCAGTCAAAGCTGGTAATATGGGTGTTGGTCAGTGTGGTGACTTGGAGCTGGCTGGAGACGTACCATAATTCCGTCGAGGCACAGCAATGAAGATGTCTAACTCACGAAATGGTGACCGGCATAACCACTGACAGGACCCGGAAACTCTCGCATCGCCCCGAGGGGATCCTTGGGTAGTGGCAGTCGTACGGTTGGGCGTAGTTCACAAAACATTGCGCATAACCCGTCCTGGGTATCACAACAACACAAAGAAGCTGGAATTTACTCATAAGGTCGTCCACGGTGCCCATCATCGCGGGTATAATATCGAAAGGACATTCTTCTCAGACAGAGGGATGAATTAATGTCTCAAACGTAGGCACAGTTCATGTTAGCCATGTAGGTAGCCGGATGTCCATGGGAAATGGTCAGCAAGGTGATATCGAGGCTCTGGTAACGGTCAACGAGGAGTGCTACTTCGAGATACTGCTGGAAGCGGCTGAACCCTCCGCAAGAGGCATTGAATGGTTCCGCCAATCAATCCCCAAACTTGCCCTCGTATCTACCCGTTTGAATTCCTCGCCACCCGAACTCAGAAAGGACGGGGCTTATTCCTCCTTCGGAGAAAGGGTTTGGTCCTCTAAATCATACTCTGGAGTACCTGGATACTGACATCATCGACCCCAAAGCCGACGGGGTCTATACGAGGGGGCACTCGTACAGAGTAGAATTCATTCCCAGCCGTACTTCCGCTGCACTGCCACCTGCAGGCTAGCAACAAAGATCATCGCATGATGATGGGGTGTCTGATCTTCTGATTATGTTGGGGTCGAGAAAGGTTGACCCTTGCATCATCATCCTCTGCCATTTCCCCGCGGTCGGGGGTGGGCGAAGTAAATCTTAATCCCATCAAGCCTCCGACCACCGACTTCTAAAAATACGCTCAGTTCATTGTCAACGTATAAGCATAATCTATTTTTGGCACTAGTCTGGGCTATGCAGTAGGCTGCCTTACCATGGATCTTCTCAGACAAGACCAAGGAAACGTATACCGACTACTGGTAATATGACCAGATGAAGCTGAGCTCCATCATGATCATACTGGTGGTGTGAAACGAGCATAGGAAAGGTAATCCAAGTAGTAAATCCTTTGTGAATAGCACGTAATAAGGGACACGCCTCTTGTCCAACAAACTCCCTTCTTCCACCCCTAGATAGCAGTAGACAGCTTACCTGAGCCATCGCCGCTAGTACATATGGGGAGATAACCGCAGCTACGACACATAAATCAGGACGAATGACTATGGGCGGACAGGACTCGAGGTTAATCGGCTGACCGACAACAAGCACAGGGTGAATGCAAGACAATACTTCGACAAATAGGGTGATGGCCCCGATATAGATTGGTTTTAATCCATGTGGCCTGGATGATACTGAACGGTCGGAACCCAGAGGCTCACCTCCCCTTTTGCTCTGCAGCCATAGTAGGGTACTCTTGGAGTTTCCGACAGGCTATAGGCAGCCCCTGTAGATTGCCGTTGTTGGAAAAGGGCCGTGAACCTTGTGCGACGATCCAGAAACGGTCTAATGAAAATTTTCCAGTTGTGGAGACATCCATCGACTACTACACATCGTGTGCTTGTTTGACCACTAGTTACATCGTCGCCCGACAAGCATGTTACTCGTTAGGCTGATCCTGCTGCAGCAGACGCTCGAGCACATGGCCTGACCAGGGCACTATGGGGAGATACAATGATTGGTCGGTACCGAGTAGTCCATAGAACTAACATCGTCGGCAGAAGAGAGATCAATAAGTCCTGCTTGAAATCCAGGAAATATGACTTCATTAGCCGAGTTGATCAACTCCCCCAGCCGGCTTTGTGGGGAGGAGGGCGGCCGTTGAACGAGCATCATTGGCGTCTGGAGACTCTCCGGATACCCCAGATAGTGGACACTCGACTCTTTCGGGTAAGAATCGGCATGCTGGTTCTCGTGGCTTCCGATGCCTCCATCCGTGACTAAACACGATCGAATGCCCTTCACGCATTTCGGCCAGCTTTGCCGAAGGGTCCACTGCCTGCCCCAGAGTCGGGAAAGGTCCGCTCGTAGGGTTTTCTTTTGCTTCTACATTGTCCTTCATTTCTTTCCCACAGGGCAACTGAGCCGAGTCCTGCACCACCATTAACCTTTGTCTGTCCTAGACGGGAGTCTTTTACGAGCAAGCGACTCATGTATAGTCCCCATCAATTCAACCGGGTGGATGCTCGCAATGGCAATGATGACATCTAGTGATCCGGACGCGGTGGGGAAGCCTAGCTATAAAGCCGGACTGGAAGCCGGGATATTAGTAGCATCGTCACAGGATCAAGTGTCTCGCCCAAGATGCCGATGACCTATCTGGGAGCCCTGGCAATGCTGACTGCCCTGCCCTCATTGGGGCAGGCCCGGTCAACCTGGCCCCTGGGCAGTGGACTGGAGCTGTCCTACCAGGCAAGCCAACATCAGATCTCCATCAATCAAGACAACCAAACCATCTTCTCAGCCCTCCCCGGTCAGCCCTTCCTCAGTGCCAGCGCCGGGAAGGACCAGATTGTCGAGGATAGCGGCAACTTCAACATCACCAACGTGGCCCAGGCCCGATGCCAAGGCCAGAATATCACCCAACTGGCGGGTATCCCTCGTCGCGACAGTGTGAAGAACCAGGTCGCTGTGCGCGGTTATCTCCTGGACTGTGGTGGGGAGGACATTGCCTATGCCATGAACTTTTGGGTTCCTAAGACCCTTTCGGATCGCGTTGCCTTTGAAGCCACCGTTGACTCGGATGCGAATGCCAGTGTCCCCCTCGAACGTCTCTATCTCACATTCGCATCGCACGCGCGGGAGGACTTTTACGGTCTCGGTGCGCAGGCGTCCTTCGCTTCCATGAAGAATCAGTCGATCCCCATCTTCTCCCGCGAGCAGGGTGTCGGACGTGGTGACCAGCCGTACACGGCCATTGAGGACTCGCAAGGTTTCTTTAGCGGCGGCGACCAGTACACCACTTACACGGCCATTCCTCAGTACGTCAGCTCTGACGGTCGCGTCTTCTACCTCGAAGAGAATGATACGGCTTATGCTGTCTTTGACTTCCAGCGCCCCGATGCTGTGACGGTGCGCTACGATAGTCTCTCGGTGCATGGCCATCTGATGCAGGCTGACAACATGCTGGACGCCATCACCATGCTCACTGAGTACACCGGTCGCATGCCGGCCCTTCCGGAATGGGTGGATCACGGCGCACTTTTGGGCATTCAGGGTGGACAGGAGAAAGTCAATCGCATTGTGAAGCAGGGCTTTGAACACGACTGCCCGGTCGCTGGTGTGTGGTTGCAAGATTGGTGAGTACCCCCTGGCTTTTCTACGCTCATTATTACTAACGGACCGTAGGTCAGGCACGCATCTGCAGTCAGCCCCCTATGGCAACATGAACATCTCGCGTTTGTGGTGGAACTGGGAGCCCGACACTTCGCTGTATCCCACATGGGCCAAGTTCGTCCAGACTCTACGCGAACAGCACGGTGTACGCACCCTTGCCTACGTGAACCCTTTCCTGGCCAACGTCAGCAGCAAGTCGGATGGCTATCGCCGCAATCTCTTCCAGGAGGCTAGCAAGCACCGCTACATGGTGCAGAATACTACCACAAACTCCACGGCGATCATCTCCAGCGGCAAGGGCATCGACGCCGGTATCCTGGACCTCACCAACGAGGAAACTCGCACGTGGTTCGCCGACGTCCTCCGCACGCAGGTCTGGAGTGCCAACATTTCCGGCTGCATGTGGGACTTTGGCGAGTACACCCCAATCACTGCGGATACCTCGCTGGCCAACATTTCCACCAGCGCCTTCTTCTACCACAACCAGTATCCGCGCGACTGGGCGGCCTACCAGCGCTCCGTGGCCGCTGAGATGCCTCTGTTCCATGAGATGGTCACCTTCCACCGTTCCGCCTCCATGGGCGCCAACCGGCACATGAACCTGTTCTGGGTTGGCGACCAAGCCACTCTCTGGACCCCCAACGACGGCATCAAATCGGTGGTCACTATTCAAGGCCAGATGGGTATCTCCGGCTATGCCCACAGTCACAGTGACATTGGCGGCTACACGACCGTCTTCGAGCCTCCCACCACCAGCAACTCCTCCGGAGCCATCCCACGATCGGCTGAGCTTCTGGGCCGCTGGGGTGAACTGGGCGCCGTGTCGAGCGCCGTATTCCGGTCGCACGAGGGCAACGTGCCTAGCGTAAATGCTCAGTTCTACAGCAACTCCACCACGTATGCGTACTTCGCCTACAACGCCCGGATGTTCCGCAGTCTGGGTCCGTACCGTCGCCGCATCCTCAATACGGAGAGCCAGCGTCGCGGATGGCCGTTGCTGCGTATGCCGGTGCTGTATCACCCGGAGGATCTCCGCGCCCGACAGATCAGCTATGAGAGCTTCTTCCTCGGTCGGGATCTATATGTGGCACCGGTGCTCGACGAGGGGCGCAAGTCTGTGGAGGTTTACTTCCCCGGTCACGGTACCAACCGCACGTATACCCATGTGTGGAGTGGCCAGACCTACCGGGGAGGGCAGACGGCGCAGGTGTCGGCGCCCTTTGGAAAGCCCGCGGTGTTTGTGGTGGATGGAGCCTCGAGTCCGGAACTGGACGTGTTCTTGGACTTTGTGAGGAAGGAGAATGGAACGGTGCTGCATGCGTGAGCGTGTTGCTTCCTATTTAAGGTGTACTAAAAGTATCCCAGTTAGGTGTCTGAGATGACTAGACGATTAGACTATGATATAGATGATTTAGAATATGCCCGAAATTATAGATGGGTAAATTAAGTACACACATTACACTTCAGCACGCGATGTGCCGGTAGCAACTTCTAGGGGTATCAAACCTTCAACTTCTCTCCATCGTGTTCCACCGTCCCCTTCTCACTGATCCCATCCTCGATCTGCACGCCTTCCTCACTGCTGGCCACGCTAGCCAGCTGCCATTCGCGGATGGCATGTCCCTTCCACATCAGCAGCATGACAAACAAGAATGAGAAGATAGCAAAGAAAGCCATCATGCCATACACCCAGCCGACATCAACGGCAGCCACCCACGGGTCAATGTAGAAGCTGATAGTAAGACCGTAGACGATACGGTAGGCGCCGATCACAATACCCGCTTCCGCCGGGTAGCGCGTGAAGCATTCCACGACGTAGTTGACCGTCACCGGCACACTGGCCAGCGAGCCAATTGTTACAATGAACACCGCCAGTGCCAGCACCATGTAATGCAGGTGATACTGCAGAGTGGCGCCGAATAGGCCCAGTCCGATGGGATTGAGGATAAGACTGGGAATCCAGAGCACCTGCAGGCGGTACTCAGGCTTCCAAGCGCCGTGGTTGAAGCGTCGGGCCAACGCCAGGGGTAGTCTGTCGTTGTAGTAGTGGCCAACGAGCTGGACGACAAGGATGCCGATCCAGTGGCAGAAGGTGAAAGCGGCATTCTGCTTCAAGGAGAAGCCGTAACCACCTTCCTCTGGCGTCCGCTGCAGCCACACAGGCACCAGGGCGTTCATGCCGACGTAGAACCCGAAGGAGATCAGAGTGAAGGTACCCATGATGACTGTGACCGGACAGATACCGATCAGAATGGGCGCCACGGCGATTTTCATCTAGAACAATGAACATCATTAGAGAGCCTATAACTAGTTCTTTTGAGGGTGGTCACTCACGGTAACCGACCAGGTGGTGGGCTGCACCAAACGCTGGCCGAAAAAGAAGGTAGCCCAGCGGTTAGCCAACCAGTTGGTCGGTATGGCAGGATTCCGATCAGGATTCTCGCGATCATACCCAGTCTCCTCGAGGAAGAGGAAGATGAGGATGGCTGTGGCGCCCAATAGGCCGACAGTCCACCAGAACTCGACGGGGAAGAAAGCATTAGCCGAGATGAAGGCCGAGAAGGTCGGGCCGGCGATGGTGCCAAACAGAAAGGCCATATGCAGGGCCATGAAGGCGCGACCGCGCTGATGCAGAAACAGCAGGTCGGTGATGACACGCGGGCCAAGAACGGTGGGAACGGCGCCGAAAAAGCCGGCAAAAAGTCGCGAGATGATGTAGGGGATATAATCATCCGAACGGGTCATGACGGCCGCCCAGATCTGACAGACGAGGGCACAAAGAATGCACCAGAAGATAACGGAGCTGCGACCCAGTCGATGGGCGACTGGGGCAAAGAAGAAGGGCCCGAAGGCCATGCCCGCCAATGCGGCGGAGTTCTATACAGCTTGTCAGGACTACAATGGAGCAGATTGAGGACAAAAGTTGGTCGGCATACAGCATAGGACTCTTGGACCCTTGTTTTGCCATAGATCTTGGCCTGTTGGGCCAGATTCAGCTGACCAGATAGGGGAGCGATAGCCCCCGAAAAAGAGGCCAGGCAGAGAGTGGCCAGAATAAGTTGTTTCCGACGATATGGCCAATTCTTCAAGCTATCAGCAGACATTCCGGGGCCAAAGGTGTTCTTGGGGCCAGATGCTTACGAGCGGGTCCTGGGGATGGGAACTGGGTCGAGGCACCAGCACGACCCCCGGCGGGGAATGTTCGGGGTGTTTACCTTCACTGCTGGTTTGAACACCATCATCCTTCATTTTGACTGATCTTGGATCTATGGTGTCCAGAAAGGAGATCTCGAGAACAGGTTCAAAGAGGTTCAAGGCGTTCCCTCACGGTCCTGAAGAGGTTTTCGACGGCCTCAATTTTCGCCTGTCGATCGATTTCCGAACGCGTCATCCTCGGCGTTAAACCGAGCCCGGTAAGGATTTCCGGTCAAGCTACGGATTCGGATTGGTCGACTGGCGCACAATGTAATTTTATCGAGATAGCTAGACTATTTAGCAGCTGTTGTTGATACGGAATATTATTATCTGCAACCCACATCTCAGGTCTGGACCAGACCCTGCATCATCTCAGGGGGGGTTGGACCATTTCCGCATCGGGGTGAAGATATTTCCAGCCGCAGTGGAGACAGACGGCGATCGGACTCGGTTTATTACCGGCAAGTCGCTTGCACCACATCAAGGGAATCAATGCCGTGGCACCATGTAACTAGAGTGCTCATGAGAGAGAATATATTCGTAGCAGCCAGTTCGATACTGCAGAACTACTACTAGCCTGATCTTACAATGCCAGCAAACCTACAAGTCACCCCGAACTAAGTACCAGCTGGGAGTTACCTCTCATATATATATATATCCATGTCACTCGGGCAAGAAAGGTGAGAGCATCTCTGATGGGCCTTCCAAGAGTGTTCAACATAGGTGCATTTCTAGTATCGAAGTTTAGTCTACCAGATTACCATTTCAGCGTCTGACAAAGTGCACTCATCCATTGCCTTGACTGGAACGTGTCAATAACGGCTCGCTGTCCGTCCACTCGCGAAAATCAGATTCGTTGATTAATGACAGCTTCTCCCCAATCATCCGAGAGCTTCGGAGACCTCACATGAATCACTGCTTCGACAGTAATCTTCTGGTCCCGGTATTCCTCGATCAGAATCCGAGCTGGAGGGGCCGATGCGAGAAACGATCGCACCCGTCGGTCGGGAAAGACATAATGCAGCGCCGCAAACACGGCGCCAGCGATCAACGCACCGCTGAGGAAGCAGATGTAGTACAGATGCATCAGCCCGGCCGGAACATGGATGGTTGAATTGACGTAGGCTATGAAACCGGGAAGCGAGGGGACTGTCCCACAGATCCACTGGCCCCTGTGTCAGTCCACCAAACGGGAAAAGTAGGGCCTTTGGAGGCGGAAGAGGGACTTACCGCGATGATGGCGCGCCAATTTACCCCGTATGTATACCAGTAGATGCTCCGTGCATCTCCCACAAACAGGTCCGGGACTTTGATCTTACGCTGGTGGACGCACAGGTAGGACGCGATCATCAGCCCGATCATCGGCGCCATGAACACCGAGTAGCTACTAAGAACCGTGATAAACACCGTGGCCGTATTGACCAATCTCCATGGATTAGCTGCAATGGAAACCAATGCTGTTAGGTACGCGCCCCGACGGATGTTGATGTACCTAGGAAAGGTCGCCGCCAGATCGAACCCTAGCTTCGTCAATTACTGAATCCAACCAGGACTGCGTGCAAAGTTCTACCTACCCCCCGACAGAGCGTTGCCTGGTACATTGACCCCCATTTGGGAGACGATCAACGCGATGCCTCCGAAGAAGCCTGCTGCGCGCGATCGGGACCCCCCAGTCTCAATGACGGCGCCCAGGAGCTTGGGAAGATTCCAGTAGGCTTCTCCATAGCGTTCCTGCGTGGCCGCTGTGACGAGAATGCCAATCACGCCGATTATTATGGCGTACAGTGCCGCGCTGAAGAGCTGACCATAGATGGCATCCCGAGGTCGTCGTGCGAACCGTGCGTAATCATTCTGGTTTAGGATTCCGGCGCAGATGCTGCCGATTGTGCTGATAATTCCATAGGCAATCATCCACCCAGAGACATTCGATCCCGAAGCCAACGTGTCACCGAAGCCGTTGGGACCCATAGTAGCCAGTGACCAGATTAGCAGTACGAATTCGAAAACAATGACAATGACAGCCGAGATGTAGAACATTTTCTGCAATTTATGCGGTCGCACATAGATTACCGGTAGGGAAAGAACCATGAAGATAATGTATCCCACGAACTCGGCGGTGGTCATGCCGGTGTCGGCCGGCATGTGGTTGGGGATGCGCTTCTCCAGCGAAGGCCAAATGGCTTGCAGGCAAACATACACACACTCGCCTCCGATCCAGGCCTGAAAGGCATCTGTCGTGAGGTTGGCGGTTAATATCTGCTGTGACGGGTGAACTAAATGACTTACACCAAACTGGACTTATCAGTGGGAGCGTTGCAGACTTTCACCGGTGAAACTTACTGAGGGATAGAAATATACGGTTCCAGATGACAAACTGGCTGCCATACATGCCCCAGACATATCGATTCACCACAGGAAATCCAACTGAACATGATGTCAGTTAACACGCGACGGCACATGCATAACGGGTCAACTCTGCCAAACGCTTACGGTGATAATAGGCCCCGGGCAGCGAGTTGAGGACGATGAAAATGGTCGCCAGGATGTTCCCGACCACAATGGCGACGATAGCCTGCCACCAAGACAGTCCCAGGGCGATCAACGAGCTGCCGGTCATATAGCCAGAGATGTTGGAGCTGATGAGGACCCCTGCGCAGAATATCCCTGTTAGCTAGTCCTGCGCAAAGTAGCATGGAGGAGTGTCCCCTGACAATAATTGTTGAAGGTCCAAAACCCCCAGCGGCGGCGATCCGCCTGAATGGGTTCGATATCACTATTGATCCATCGGTCGGGAATGGTCTCTCCTTCTTGAGGCACCTCGAGCCACTGGAGGAGTGTCATGGCGAGCTGACTGGGTTACATCACAACTGATGAACACATAAAGCCCTATTATATGCTGGACACAGACAGATATGCCTGCTGGTTTGGGCGATAAGCGTTTATCTCGGCCGGCGCCAGCCAAGGATGAGCGGCATCAGAGGAAGCGGGGTTGGGCTCTAGCCTGATTGCGACTGCAGAGAATGAGGGCGCATGTGCCACAAGTACAAATGACGGTTCATTCCCGTCCATGAAGCCTATCTGGTTCCCCTATCAACTATCAGTGGTCCGGCAAGATGGCATTCTATCGAATCGGCGTGGATGTGGGTGGCACCAATACCGACGCTGCTATCCTCAACGCGGCACCCGCAGCCCTCCATGAACAGGACTTGCATCGAGATCGACAGAGAGGCGTGTGCGCTTCCAGCAAAGCTCCTACCACTGTCGATGTGACTTCTGGTATTTGCACGGCCATTGTCGATGTCCTCGCCAAGGCGCAGATTCCCGCCCACGAGGTGCGCAGTGTGGCCATCGGCACTACTCACTTCATCAACGCCGTTGTGGAGGCCGACCCCCGTCGACTCAGTAGGGTCGCTGTCATTCGTCTGTGTGGCCCTTACACTAGAGCTGTATTTCGATCCCCTAAGAAACCCTGATCTCGCCATGAACAACCTGTCGCTGATGGTAACCCAGGTCCCGCCATTCTCCGACTTTCCACCACGACTGCGTGAAATTATCGGAGGACCGGTTTTCTATCTCGACGGAGGTGCCTCAAACTAATCCTAGTGTCATTGGAGATGCTAATGAATACCTCTTAAGGTCTCGAAATTGATGGTCGGGAAATCGCGTCCATCTGCCCTCGACAGATTGAGGATGCCGTATCTGCGATCGAGAAGGCCGGAATCACCACCGTCGCTCTCGTTGGGGTGTTCTCGCCCCTTGACCACGGGGGCGCAAACGAGGTAGCTTGTAAGAAATTGATGTTACAGAAAAGCCCCGACTTATCTGTGGTGTGTTCTGCCGATATTGGCAGTGTTGGCCTGCTGGAACGCGAGAATGCGACGATACTCAACGCCTCCATCCTGGCTCTGGCGAAGAAAACCATCCGAGCTTTCTGTCTTGCCATGAAGGACCTACAGCTTGAATGCCCGTTGTATCTTACTCAAAACGATGGTACTCTGACGAGCGCTGTAATGGCTGCAGAGCGACCTATCCAGACTTTTGCCAGTGGACCAACGAACAGTCTGACGGGGGCAGCTTATCTGGCTGGTCTGGACCAACGTAGCAACAGTAGCAGCATCACAAGCAGGACTGATACTCAAGTCCTAGTTATGGATGTGGGAGGAACGACCACCGACGTTTGCGCTCTCTTGCCGTCTGGATTCCCCCGCAAGGCGCCTAACTTTGTTGAAGTCGGTGGAGTACGTACAGCCTTTCCTATCCCAGAGGTGCTCTCAGTGGGACTGGGCGGTGGGAGTCGCATCCACATTGATGGCGCCAAAGACACCGTGAGTGTTGGACCCGACTCGGTCGGGTACCGTTTAATGCAGGACGCCCTAGTCTTTGGTGGCAATACCATGACCTCAACGGATATCGTTGTCGCGTCTGGCAAAGCTGAGCTGGGAGAGAGCTCTCGGGTAAAGCACCTACCGTCCGCTGTTCTCACCAAAGCTCGTGCGGGAATAAAGCAAATCCTCGAGCGCGCTGTTGATGAGATGAAAGTGTCTGATCAGCCCGTGACCCTCTTACTGGTCGGGGGTGGCTCCATCGTGTACATGGACGCACTTGACGGCGTCACCGAGTGTATTCTTCCTCCGCACCATGACTCTGCCAACGCAGTTGGGGCTGCCATTGCCAAAGTATCTGGTGAGGTGGATGTTATTGAAATCCTGGAGGGTCGCGATGAGGCAGCCGTAGTTGAAGCGGCGAAGCAGCAAGCGTTGCAGGCTGCCATCGCACGCGGAGCTGATAAGGACGATGTCGGCGTCGTGGAGGTGGACAAAATTCCACTGCAATATGTCACGAACAAAGCGGTCCGGCTTGTTGTCAAGGCTGTTGGGAGGCTTGCAGCCGCCGTCGGCGGTAGTAGCTCCGCAGAGGACCATTTGGTATCTTGGATGTCAACTGATGTCGATGATTCGTCCTTCAAAGAAGCATCAGAAGTAGAGACGGCGGCGAACGGCACTTCCCCCTCCCTGATTAGCACCAAACACAGTGCCTCCCTCGATCTTCACACATATGTTCCGGAGGTGACGGACCAAGTCTGGTACCTTTCCGCCGTCGACTTGGAGTTCATCGCGACCGGAACCGGTGTGTTGGGCACTGGCGGTGGAGGCCCATCTTATCTGCAGTATTTGCAATGTCTTGACTGGCTGCAAAGCCCCGACGCAAAGGGACGTATGAGGGTGGTATCTCCAGATAGCATGAACGATTCGGGTGTCTGCGTGTTTGGATCGTGGTACGGCGCCCCCAGTGTGTCGGGGGAACGAATCCCGGCCAAGATAGAACTTACAACTGCCATCGACCATGTCGTCCGTCTCTCTGGACATACACACTTTGAAGGAATCATTGCTGACGAGATTGGCGGAGGAAATGGCATGTCAACCTTTCCCACCAGCGCCTACTACGATATTCCGGTTCTCGATGGTGATCTCATGGGCCGCGCCTATCCCACCATGGAGCACGGTAAGAAGCCATTACCCCTATCACCTGCTAGACTTAATGCCGAGTTCGTGTCCTAGGAACGCCATATGTTTATGGACAACCCATCACCCCGTGCGTGGTTGCGGACGCGAAAGGTAATGTGGGAGTGGTGTTGGTATGACTCTCCCCTGTAAAGAGCTCACACTTTCTCCGCTGATCATCTGTAGAAAGCCGAATCCAACCGTCGAGTTGAGGAACTGCTTCGATGCCAGTGTGTGAATCTCGGTATTTCCACTGCTGTCGCTGCTGTACCCTTGACCTTTGACATTGTCAAGAAATACTGCATCCCTAACACAGTGTCCCAAGCCTGGTATCTCGGTCGCGCTATCCATCGCGCGCGCCGGTCCAAGACCAACATTATCAAAGCCATTGTAGGTACTACTCTTATCTCATGATTCGTAAACTAATGCGACTATAGTTTGAAACCACACCTGGCAAACTGCTGTACAGTGGCAAGATCATCGACGTGAAGCGAGATGTCAGTCGCGGGTACACAGTTGGCCAGTGCACAATTGCCCCGTTATCCGGTGAGGAGAGAGAGAATATGGACAACCAGGTTTCGGAAGAGACACGTCACTTGGTGATTCCATTTCAAAACGAATTTCTGTATGCTGCGTACATCGACCCCGCAAATCCCACAGCCCAGCAGGTTATCTGCACAGTACCCGACCTCATCTCGGTTCTAGGCCAAGATGGCGAGGCAATCGGGTCGCAGGAGCTGCGGTATGGCCTGCGCGTGAATGTCATCGGCATGGCGGCGCATCCTCTGTGGACTGGAGATGAGCGAGGACTGCGTGTCGGAGGACCCCATGGCTTTGGATTGGATATGGAATGGACGAGTCTCGGTCCGTATCAGGCACCGCGCAGTGTCATTGCGGAGTTTAACCAGCAGTAATGAGATGGATTTGTCTGAAGATATGAGAAAAGGCCGTGTAAAACATTCACAATCTCAAGTTGAATATAGGGCCCACACTAAACCTCTAAAGTTCAGGCAATGCTAGGGTGAATGTCTCCTACTTGTATCCATTAAGCTGCCTCTGCTTTGGAATAGGATCCCGGTGAATTATGAAACATGGAATACGAGTTTTACTGGTGCAATCCATTGCTACTCCTGCAACTTCAATAAGTTTAATGATACATCCCAAAGCCTTGCTTCGCTCTCCGGACTATACGCCCATTGGGCATATCCCGGTCCCCAAGGACCAGCGGCAGGAACCCATGAATTGGCCACAGCACAATTCTCCAAGTACACTCCACCCTTCCCTTCCATTTCTGGGCTCACTGCTGCCCAGACTGCAGTGGCAGCTCCTTGCTCAGGAGTCTTCCAATATTTTTCCAACTCCTTATCCGCAGTCCAAATCGCCATTTGGTCAGCCGGCACATGACGCAGCAGGTCTGTGGCAATGGTCCCAGGATGCAAACTAACCGCGTGCAGACCGTGAGCTTCATACCGCCGCTCAATCTCATTAGCGGTCCAGATGTTGGCTGTCTTGCTTTGTGCATAGGCCATCCAGGTGTCGAACTCGCCCTCCCAGGTCAGGTTGTCAAAGTTGACTTGGCCAAAGCGATGCGAGCCGGAGGATAGTAGCACCACCCGTGAGTGAAATGCAGGTGAGGAAGATGCCAACATCACAGGACGGAAGAGATGGAAAAGGAGAAAATGCGCCAGGTGGTTGGTCCCAAATTGCGTCTCGAAACCATCTTCCGTCCGTCCTTCCGGGCAGCCCATGACACCGGCGTTGGCGATGAGAATGTTAAGCCGGGAAGATATTGCTTTCAATTCCCCTGCGCAGGCACGCACTGAAGCCAGGGAGTTGAGATCCAGAGACAAGAGGTGCACACGTGGGCTGTCCATCATATCACCAAGCGCTGTTTTCGCCCTCTCGAGGTCACGGGCCGTCAGGTAAAGTGTAGCACCGGTAGCGTATAGTGCTCTCGCAGTATGCACACCCAGACCTGACGAGCAGCCGGTGATGAGGATAACCTTGTCAGACCATTGGCCTTCGAGATGTTCATCCTGAATGATTTGCAGGGCAGTTGGGCGCGCGTCGCCAGCGCCCTTGGGCGACTGGTGCACTGCTGCATATTTGTCACTCATAACTTCTGCTTGTATATGCTAAGCTCTGAAGGTCTGGAACTGAAATGGGGGTTTAATCGAATCTCAAAATATGTTGTCAGGGTCTACTCTTCTTATATGGCGTGTGTAGCACGAATTATTGGATCTCCACTCCAGGAAGGCACTTTGATCCATCGCCCCATAAGTGGGGACCCCAGACTGGGGGCTGTTAACTGTCAAATATATCATATAGTATAGGGACCTTGAGCTGTATGTCCGACCGAGTCTTTATCAAAATCGGTGATAGCTTCTTGTTGCTGGCTTTGAAATAACCGGTATCGGTATCGATAATCTACGCTAACCCATATGGGTTAGCCTTGACGCCCGGGCTAATTCCGCGAGCGGATTCCCCCAAAAGGGGAAGCCGACAAGGCGCCTGATCCCGCGCGGTAATCGACGGGCAGAACCGGGTACAAGATATGCACGCTAAAGCGAGAGGTATAAGAAGACCAGCTTTCAATCATGACGCCCATGGGTGTGATGTAGACATCTACGGATAATCGCTGCTATGCTGGTAGAGATCGGTCCCTGCTCGGGGTTAGCGGACCTGTGCAACATCGCAAAATTTATGCTCCGGAGTTAATTATCCCCAGCTCACTAACTCCGACCAGTGGCTACAGGCACGGCAGGTATTGTAGACGGGGAAAACGGAGACAAGCATGGAGGGAGGTGAAGGCCATTAGATTAGGGGATTCGGAGGGGCTAGGGGAGGGATACTAGGACGTATATAAAATGTTGGGCTCTCACCATTGCGACTTTCTTTTGCACTAAGCGAATCCGGCTGTATATACAATACGCACCATGGCATCCTATTTAGTTACTGGTAGTACTCGTGGGATCGGCTTCGAGTTGGTGCGCCAATTATCAGAAAAGCCTCCCTCAGAAGTCAGCACCATTATTGCCACCTCGCGATCGGTCAATGTCTCCCTGCAGGATCTAGCGGACCAGCATCCCAGCCGAATCGTGCTAGTCCTCTTAGATGTTGCAGCCCCCGAGACCATACAAAAGGCTGCTCAGACCATTGGGAGCATCTTAGGAGATAAGGGACTGGATGTACTCATTAACAATGCTGGCATCGTGGGCTGGGGCCGGCTTGAGGACATGTTGGTTTTAACCCTTGGACCGCATCAATCTTTGATGGAAACTAACGTCCTGCAGGACAGACTTGGAAGACACGTTCCGTGTCAATATGACTGGTCCGCATATCGTAACCCAGAACTTCTTGCCGCTATTGCGGAAGGGCTCTATGAAGAAGATCATCAACATGTAAGACCCCTCTTGACCCAGGAACCGGATGTTTTTAATCCTGGCTCGCATCATCCAGTTCCAGCAGCGTCGGCTCCATTGCAAAGCAGTCCGTCTTCCTGGAACTGCCCGCCCCCTCCTACAAGATCACCAAGGCCGCTTTGAACATGATGACGGTGCTTTATTCTCAAGAGCTTGAGAAGGAAGGGTTCACCGTCTTCTGCGTGAGTCCTGGGGTGAGTGCCAATCCAGACTTCGAGTCAGTCCCATCATTTATCTGATTCCAACGTTAGTGGTTAAGAACAGACGAAGCCAATTCACACGCTGATCTTCCGGTCGGAAGTGGAGTCGAGCGCGTTTTGGAGATGATCCGTGATCGGGGTGTGGAAGTCAATGGAAGATTCTTGAATATTAATGTCGCTGGGTGGGAGAACAACCCTGGACTAAACCAGTATGATGGAAAGGAGCTGCCATGGTAGACCGGATAGATGGCTGATCGATGGTAGGAGATATGTCTCATGCGTTGTTTATACTTACCTATCAATAGATGGGCTTGAACATGCAGTTGCAGGAACTAAACATCGAACTCCGTGGAAGAGATAATGACGCGATGCGTAATACTTCGATATAGATACGCAACTGTGTTCTGATCTGCTATGCGGGAAATAGGTCTCCTCAGCTGTGGACTGGATCGTCCGATTCCGTGGAGGTTTTCATCTTATGGGCTGGGCTGTATCTCCAGAGAAAAGGCAATGATAGCAGGGCAGTCAAGTAGGGTGTCGGTGAAATTGATTGATTGTTTAGCTCTATTATAGATCGGTCTAGCCCGATTGGTGTTGTTTGGTGGCTATGCGGGCTTTCAGCAACTAGTAGGATACAGGCACTACCTATTTGTGTCACCACTGGGTGAGAGCCTGCCAATCACTTCATTAGAATGTCGTTCAGGTGAAGGAGACTTACACGGTACGATGCCGAGGTCCTGTCAGTAAAGTACATGTGATGAGAAGAGATGAACACACTAGCGATGCAACATACCGAGCGGGGAAACAAGAAGTGAGAGTCAAAGTAGATTAGGGTCGTGGGGGGAGAGCGCCACGTTGAGTCCCCAAAAAGGTAATCCGCGAGGCTGATCCATCAGCTGCTATCTGTCAGCACAATAACAATCAATTGAACTCAACCCATGCATACATTTCACTCAAACTCCGCGTCGGAGGTGTCCATGTTTGTCTATCATTATCTCGCAGATTAGGCCTGCTTCATAGATATCAATCTGACTGTCTCTAGTTGGTCTGACTGGCCATCGGTGATGAGTTGAAGGCTCAAGCGGTCGCTGCGCCAGCTGAGCCCGTCGCGGCGATCCCCGATCAGCCCTCTGTGGGGCATTGAGCAAAGCATGCGCGTGAAGTGGCATCGGAGATTTGTGGTGGCTACAGGTCGCGTGACCCTACGGGAAGGGTCGTGTGATCCTTACCCTTTACACGTGATCAAAACAAGTATTAGTCATCAATAACAAATCACATGATCTTTATAATTACTGTATCTTCCCGCTGAATTTCAACTTTTCTTTTAATTCATAATTTACAGTCTAACAGCAAGTAATTACTAAGTACTTACTAAGTACTCGAATATTATGGATTTTGAAGAGCTTCTATATATAAATTCTAATGGAGGATTTAATATACAAGAACTAGAGATATTTAAGTATTTAATAACTACTTATCTAGAACTTAAAAACTAATTAAATTTATATAGGATAATGCAGTTCTAATATCTTTAACTCAGGCTAAAGCCTCACTACTTACATCTTTAAATTTTAAATATATTAATAATCTATCTGAATATCCGATAACCCATCTTCAAGAATATACTTATATTATTTCAGCATTACAATAAATACAGAAGGAGGTAGAACAGTTAATTTAAAAGATAATATATAAATACTTAATAAGTACTTTACAATTAGCTGATAAGTACTTAAGATTTAATATAATCAGTAACTAGTTAAAGATTAAAAACATCTAATCTTCTGCTCATTTTTTAACTGTCTAATTAAATAATGGACTTAGAAATATTCTAGAATTTTAGCTTATAAATTTTTAAATCTAGAAATTACTAACTATCATTATACTTCTGTTAATAATGAATTCTGGGAGAAGATTCATATTAACTACCAAAATCTTAAAATTCTAGAAACAGATTTAAGCAAAAGAAATACTTTTGCATAAATACTTATTAAGTGATTATAAAATACTTAGCAAGTATTTTATAACTAATTATATCTTACTTTCAGATTCTATTATTCTCAAATAAAGTACTTCAAAAGAGATCTGATTTATATTAACCAGCTATTAATATATAAACCAGTTTTTAAAAGATATCCACAGCCAGTAAATTTTTAAAATTACTAATTATTTTTTAAGTACTTGATAAGTACTTAATAAATACTTATTTTTTCTAAAAGGTTCACAGGGCGAAGCAACTCCATATATTAGATATATTAATAATAATTTTAATTTTCTTAAAAAATATTACCAAGGTATTATTCAAGGAATAACAACTTTAAATTTTATCTTTTTAAAAAATTTATTTAATAATAATATTATTCCTCCACAGGAAGAATATAGAAGTATAAAGCTACTAATAATAAGATAAAAATAGTATAGTAAATACTTGGTAACTAGTTTATAATTATTTATTAAATATTTATTTATTTATAAAAGATAAAGATTATCTCCAAGGACCTGGACAACTAAAATATCTATAATATAATATTATATTTAATATACTAGTTCCTGTGGATATTAAATAGTATTTATATTATTTATTTATATTACATAGAATTTATAAATATCTATCTCCACTATTAAATAAGCTACCAGAACGGATTTTACAAAGACTTAAATAGATTATTACTCAAATTAATAATCTTATAATAATAACAGGTAACTACTTCTTAACTATTTCTTAATTATTTATTAACTATTTAATAATTACTTTAAAGTACAGTTTTTAAGAAATTCACAGCTTGAAGAGTTTTGCAGAGAATATTAAGTTTTTACTCTTACTAAAATACATGCCAGTTTATGTAATAAAGATTATATTTCTATAATTCTTTATAAATAATATTTACTTATATATCCAAGCAGGTAAGAAATTAATGGACTAATCTGCCTGTAAAATACTGATCTATTTATTAAGATATTTAATTATTTTATAACTACTTAGCAAGTACTTACAAAGTATTTAAAACTATATCTAAGAATATTACCATGATCTACAGGATATTATAATTCTATATAATTTTAAAGAATTAGTTTAACTACTTTCAACTCTTCTATTATTTAAGATTAATATATCTTTTAAAAGACTATAATCAAGAATAGTAAATAAGATTCTTTTTACAATTTTTTTACCAGATCAATGTAAAAGTAAGATTTTAATTTTATAATTACTTATTAAGTAATTATTAATTATTTATAAAGTAATTACTTTTTTCCGGGTTTTTACTTCACAGGACACAACTGATAGCTATTATTTATTTTTTCAGAGAATATTTAATTTATTTACAAAGATTACTAGCCAGTAATTCTAATTTCAGTTTATTCATAGTACTGGTGTCCAAGGAATTATTCTTGATATAAATCTTAAATAATATACTGGTAAGTTAGCTACTTCTGAATTATTTATTAATTATTTATTAACTGCTTGCTAACTACTTAGGACTTAGATAATATTTATAAGAAATTAATTCTAATTACTATATTATAGAATAATAACTTTCATACTTAGTTATTTTTTACTAAGTTTATTTTTAATATATGATTTTAAAGATCCTTGGGCCAGGATCTCAAGGAAATAGAACTTAGAGTTAAATAATAAATCTTCTTAATTATATAAGTATAGAAGACTATGATGAATATCTTAATTTTCTTAAAGATAAGTACTTATTAAGTATTTTATAAATATTTACTAACTACTTAATTAGATAATAAAAATGAGAATATCTGTAACTGGACTAGATAAAAGAAAAGTCCTATAATTAAAGCAGGATTAGTTCAAGCGTGCTTATTGTTGGAATTTTGGCCCAGGCGCTAGTCCAAAACAGGAAAGCGGTCTAGCGGGGCTAGGCCAATCAGATAATAGGAGGTCTTGTAAAAGGCTTTTACAGAAGACTCCTACTTGGTCATGTGATACTAGTCCTAATTAGGAAACTAGATCAAAGTAATCATAATAATAATAATAATATGAGGTCAATACAATTGACAAACTTGTCAAAGGGAAGCAAACATTTATTTCCTAAATAGGAAATAAGTGGATCCTTTAGATAGGAAGTGAATGAATTCAACTTGCTTGCCTGCTTGAGCTGGGGGATGAA